TATGTCAACTAATTTTGCCACCAGTTACAGTTTAACTAATAGACCTTGTCATCTTGCAACCATTCTATAAAGTGAATTGCATGTAACTGTAAACTTAATTTCTAAATACTAGGTCGCTCTATGTCAACTAATTTTGCCACCAGTTACAGTTTAACTAATAGACCTTGTCATCTTGCAACCATTCTATAAAGTGAATTGCATGTGACTGTAAACTTAATTTCTAAATACTAGGTAGCTATATGTCAACTAATTTTGCCACCAGTTACAGTTTAACTAATAGACCTTGTCATCTTGCAACCATTCTATAAAGTGAATTGCATGTAACTGTAAACTTAATTTCTAAATACTAGGTCGCTCTATGTCAACTAATTTTGCCACCAGTTACAGTTTAACTAATAGACCTTGTCATCTTGCAACCATTCTATAAAGTGAATTGCATGTGACTGTAAACTTAATTTCTAAATACTAGGTAGCTATATGTCAACTAATTTTGCCACCAGTTACAGTTTAACTAATAGACCTTGTCATCTTGCAACCATTCTATAAAGTGAATTGCATGTAACTGTAAACTTAATTTCTAAATACTAGGTCGCTCTATGTCAACTAATTTTGCCACCAGTTACAGTTTAACTAATAGACCTTGTCATCTTGCAACCATTCTATAAAGTGAATTGCATGTAACTGTAAACTTAATTTCTAAATACTAGGTCGCTCTATGTCAACTAATTTTGCCACCAGTTACAGTTTAACTAATAGACCTTGTCATCTCGCAGCCAGTCTATAATATTGATACATTTTTGTTACAGTGCAGCACTCAACCCTGTGATCAGTTTTCTGACAACCGTGAAAGTGTTTCAGACTTCAACGACAACTACGGCTCAGTTAATGACACCTACACCTGTTTCTACAATCGTAAGAAGCTTGATGAGGTGTTTTTAACAAGATCTTCAGTAGAAAATGATAAGATGAAGATTCTGCACTGTATTTTGTGGCCAATGCTCATCATTGTAATGAGCATTGGTCTCCTTGGTACTCTGTTTTGCCGATCCAAAGGCCACTGCTGCTTTAGGAAGAGAAATGGTTCTTCTGTTCCCTACCAAGGCCTACAGCCAACAACTTAATGTCATGATGAGTCTGAAGTAAGCATATGGTAGTTTGTTTTTATTGAATGTCATAATGGAAATTGGAAGTAATCACAAAGTGAGAAGTTAACCATTTACTCATTTTTCAGTAAATATTGGAACAAAAAGTTTGAACTACCCTATAATCATGGTGAGGTGTTGCCCAAGAACAGTGCATTTCTAGATGTAAAAAGTACTGAGTTTAACCCTTTGACTCGAAAGATCTGATTCGTAATTTTCCAGTCTATCTGCTTCACATTTTGCTAGAAACTACGTAAGAGAATTTGGTGTTAGATCAAGACAATAACTGAACATAAGCTTGAGTATTCTCATTTCATGTTTGCTGGATAATGCATGGATATTATAGGGAGAAGTTGCATGCTAATCACTTCTGGGAGTTAAAGTTAGATCAGCTTGACCTTTTTTTTCAGGTTTCTTTTTCTCTAAATGCTTTCTTTGCAGTGCACTTGGGGGAATCATTTCACTACTTGTAACTAAGAAATGCTAAAGCCCAAGGGAAACAGCATCTAATTTCTTCGTATGATTTCACCCAGGAATCACACATCAAAGTTAGGAGAATAAAGGAAATGATCACTTCCTTAAAAAGCTCTTGAGATAACAAATTTTCCTTGTCAGCACCTAAGGAAATGTATAGAAAACAGTATGGAGAATATGCATACTGATCTTATGGTGTGAAGAGTTGGGTAACAGGATTTCAATGAGGCTGATAATAAATTACAATGAAAATATTTTGGGCAGTAGCTTAAAGTGGTTGTCTGCAAGGTTCACATACCTAATTTCGGTCTTTTCACAGATTTCTGTGAAAGTTTGAATGTTAGTTGCACTTGGTTATGATGGTTTAAAAATTAGTTGACTTTGTTGTGTGGTAAAATTTTACTTTATTCCACATGACTTGTGGACTCCTGGGCCACAGGTATGTTAGTACCAGGAAAGACATAATTAATTGCATTAAGATGTGGCAAAGACCTGTCCTTTGTGACCAAAAATTAAGTACTTAGCTGTTTCTGTAGATACTGTGATTGTTAAATGACATGCATGGAATAAGTGATGGCATAGATAATAATATTGCCCAGACTGTAATAATAGGTAAAGAGGGGGTACATTTCTAAAGAAACTGTTGTTTTTTGTAGGTAGGAAGCATAACAAGATAATTTGTTTTTATCAACTAAGTTGATGATGTAAATTGGTCATCTTAAAGAGCTTAAAAAGCTGATGTTATGAGGGTTAGCCCTTCACTAGGTGTTGAAGGTGACTGACACAGCTACAACATTAAGCAATATCATATTAGCACAGGAAAGATATATCAATGTTACATGGTTACTTAAAAGTGATTTCTCTGTTGTATAGTGTAACACCTCTTTTTAAGGTTCAGCCTCGTAAGTATTACATTCTCACGGTAATCCTTAAATAAACTCTCCATACGGAGTTGGAAAGAGTATTTATCAGCAGTATACAAGGTAGAAACATATGGCACTGGTCAGTGCCTGTTATTGCATGAAATAATTAGGGAATAGAAAGGTGTTAAGCACCTGTCATGAAAAATGACAAAAAAAAAAAAAAAAGAGAGAGAGGGAGAGAGAGAGAGATAGTGGTGGGTGGGTTGTCTAGAGGAATTTGGCCGACTGGATCATGACGTTTTCTAAAAATGAAAAGTGGGAGTATTTGCCCGAGGTTTGCGTGTTTTTCTTGTTTTCAACAACAACATAACTACCGGTAGGTTTGTTTTCCTGCACGATCGGTTGCAATATTCAGCACTTCACATATTTTGAGTACATGTAATCCGAGCAACAGCGAGAAAACTGATTCTTCTTATTAAGAGGCAGACTATCCGGTCTCTTGTGATAACCGGAAAGCATGCCAAGAAAGTGATTAAATTGTAGTTTCTATTTGGGTGGGGCTAGAATATAGCTTTCTTCACCTTTTTTTAGGAATAATATTTATTTTGTAATTACTATTTTTGTTGGAGTAAATACGAGTTGTATTGGACTTAGATAGTGTTCGTGTACTTGAATTCCTCAAAGGAAAACTTTTTAAAGATTTACTGTACCGACTGTTACCTACGTTTGGCATTGTTTTCATCTGAAGATGTAGAGGAAAAACTTGTAGACATAAAGGAATTAGATTTAACAGTAATAAATATATCTTCTTGTTTAACAACTTAAGAATTGATGTCTTTATTGTGTAGTAGACCTGGAGGGGGTTGGGATTAATATAGGAAATGAGAGACTCTTACCATTCCTCCCCCCCCCCCTCTCCTCGTTTGCATTACACTCTTGTTGGGATGAGATCTCATAGTTGTTATGACAACGATCTTGGTAACAGATAAGAATTACTGATGAGACTTTTCTCTTGGGAAGGCCCTATACTTGACCCCGCCATTAATATCGTCTGACTTTATTCTCTATATAAAATTAAAATTCTCCTATATTATGCAAAGAAAATCTGGTGGGAAATAATGAACCTTATTGTTATCTAGTTTTATCATTGAGCTGTTAAAAAAAGTATATATATTTATATTTTTCACCAGCATTTTTCTTGTCTTTTAAGGAATATCCATCGCTATTTTATGTGCCCCAAAAACGAAATTAGAAAACTGGCCCAAATAGAATTTTTTTTCACGAACTTTTATAAGAATTCTGATACGTATATCAACGATTACTTCCAATTTCTCTTTCGCTGATGCCTGGTGGAAAATTAAAATTTGGGATGGTACAATGAACTTAGCTCATTCATTAAACGAAAGAAATTTTTGGAGCATTGAAGAGTGATATCTTAGCCCATACCATTTTCTTATATTTAAATTCATGACAGTTGGCTGAAATTTGTCTCCTCTCGCTTATTGTACCAGTCATGCCTTGTCTGAATTTCACGTGCGTATATTGTCACTCAATTGCCCTTGGCAACGTGAGCACATCTATTAATATACTTGAGTCTTGCATGGGCATCATAACTTGCACTGGGCGGAAAACTGAGCCATTATTATTAATCTTGGTTGAAAAATTCTCTCTTTTTTTTCAGTACTAAAAGTTTTTGGAACATTTAAGAGCGATGCACCGGCCTATAAATTTTGAGTAGATATAAAAACTCTATTCACGTGCTCCAGATATAAATATGACACATTGCCTGAAAGTTATCCTCTCTCGATCGTTGTACCAATCATAACTTGTCTGTATTTTACCGCTGTATATTGACTCTCAATTCTCGTGAACTTCTAGCTTTTAGAAACTTGAGCTCATCCATTAATATACGCGAGTCACCCATGAAAGTGTGTTTGCGTCACCCTTACCCGTGGGCTCAATGTAAAGGTGCATACATTTTGGAGAGTAAGTTTTTGAATACTAGGTTCAGAGATACATTACTAATACAATTGGAATTGGTAAATGAAATATTAAAAGTGGATTAAGATAGAGATAATATTACTAAATTAAACCGCAAAAGAAGGCTGGACACAGCAATCTCAAACTCATCGACTCCCTAGCCATGAATGCATCATGAGTAACCGTGCTTACTGGATACTAATGGATCATTGGGCACTAGCTTCACCCTTGGAGAGCTTGAAAAGCTGTTTGCTTATGGACAACGATGATGTCTATTTAGTCGACCAAACACAACAAGAGTAGCTTAACCACGTTTCATTTACAGTCGATTCGTCTTCATGATATTAAACAGAAAATACACTGATATACAATTAATAACCACGAATGCAATATCACCTTGTCGCTGTATATAATCATTACATAGTGAATACAAAGTAAATTGCCATGGAAGTTACAAACAAACTGAGATATGCGACCAGATCCGTGCACGCAAAAACAAGGTTATAAAAAGGCCAATAGCAAGCGGAGTGGATTACCATAGAGGGTTCGCTTTGATGAGAACAACAGCTTTATGAGTTCCTCGAGTTATTTGTCAGACCATTCGAATTAGAAATTTTTGACACCAGCTACAAGGAAGCTTAAGGGGCCGTGAATACTTTTACAATGAGCTTCGATCTTCTGATTGTACTGGCTTTACAGATAACAATTTTATCAACGCTATCTTGGGCTCAGATAGGTAAGTGAAGTAATTGATAACGCCGTGAAAAGAAAAACTTCGTTTTTCATCACATAACACCACAACCTATCAGTAATGACAATAACATGATAGATTATGACTGTTGGCCAATAGTGCTCGTCTGAGAATGGTGAAAGTACTCTTTCATTCCTCATTTTAGTGAAAGTGCACTTTTTCAATGTGGTAGATTCTGTAGTTATAGTTGACGTTGTACGTATATTTTTCATCTTTCAAACATACATAGAGTGAGACCTTTAAAATACCTACCGAAGGTAACTTAGTATCTCTAGAGGACCTTTGGAAACTTAATTGCTTTTTTTTTTCCTTTTTTTTTTCGGCTTTGTTCTTAGATGTTTACTATTGCAGATTAATCATTACGTAACTAACATTTTGAAGATTATGAAAACCAACTTAGTCAAGAGGAAGGTAAATCTTTTTAAAAACTGTTAAACTCTTTATTTTATAGTTTCTTCCGCTTTCTTCGTCAGAACAACAATATCCTGACGTGATCCTCGCCGCCGTGGAACTCCGGGAATTATTCTTTATGTATATAAGCTTTTGTGGAGGCAAGCGATCGACTGCTAGAAAGTAGTTTTTTAACGGTTATTTCAGAAAAAATTGTCACATATCGAGGTGTGGTTGTCCTAATTCACAGCTCTTATAAAAAAACCTAACCAATGACTCCAGAATTATGATATTGCAACACCATCTCAAAATATTGGCGACTACTGGGCTGTTTTGATTGCAAACAACACGAAACTCAAATAAGGCACCACAACGATCTTAGTTTGACTATAATAGATATCAATAAATAAATCAGAGAATAAATGCAAAGTATAATATAAGGCATCTTTAGCAGACCATATTGAATCGACCCTTCGTATTTTTCTTATACATGTATATAACAGAAGTGACTTTTAATATCGTAGGATATATATCAACTCCAGAGATCTGGGTTTCCAACACTAATATTGACAAAATATATATTTTTGGTGACCTTTCTAGGTTAGGAGTACTACTAGACATCTCTAGAGTCGAACAGTGTTTTACTTAATCCTCAGATTAAAGCCGAGAAAGGACGTTTTCTAAGAAAGGTGTCTTCTCGGATCTGTCGTTTTGGTAATGAACTGATTCGGGAACATTGTTTTGGTTTCTTGCCAAACTAAGAAAAATATAAATCTCTTAAATTCGGCTATGAACACTAGCTTAGGAATATATCATCTCTATATCAATCCAACTCATTCAATATTTCTAACAGAGGTACCATATCACAGACATCAATGCAATCGCTAAACAAAAACCGCAAAAATGGCACAACGTCGACGAAAAATATACCAAAGTTAATTTTTTTCAGTTAAAACAACGCAATATGTCACTTTGCAAGATGCTTCATCCTCACCCAACCTACAAAATACACGAACAACATCAACTGTTATATTGAATAAGACAATCCTCTCAATTTTTTTTTTTGTAACAAATACAGAAACTGCTTCACCTAATCTGCCAAGAAGAGCAACGCCAAGACCAGGTTCACCAGCTTCAACAATATTATCTGATGTTCTACCAAAGACGACAACACCAACATCTGTGCCTTCGGGTACCACACCATCACCCGTGCAAACAACCGTTCCATTAGATTCAACGACGCCATCACCCGCTGTGTCAGAAACCGGATCAACGACAACTGCTTCAGTTGATTCAACAATATCATTAGCTGTTCTGCCAGAAAGAACGACGCCAGCATCCGCCCCAGTGGGTTTAACAACATCAACTGTTGTGTCAGAAATGAGAAAACCAACATCTTCTCCTGTTGATTCGACAACACCATCGCCTGTTGTACCAGAAACCACAACGCTAACGTCTGCTCAGGTAGATTCAGCAACACCATCAGTTCTTCTGCCAACGTCAACAGCAACAAAAAGCTACATTCTATCTGATTCAAAATCCCAATCACCTACCGTGACGGTCACATCAACCTCATCATATCAAGTTATTCCAACAACACCTTCAGCTGTTGTACCAAAAGTTACAACACCAACCTCTCTTTCAAAAACCTCAGCAACGCAATCAGCTGTTGCGCCAAACATAACAACGTCAACATCTGCTCCAGAAGAAACAACCACAACACGACCTGTTTTGCCACAAACAGCAACACCAATGCCTCTACCATTAAATTCAACAATTTCAGCCATTGTGCCTGGTTCAACAACGCCAGCAACTGATCCTTCCGTTGTGCAGCAAACAACAAGATCAACATTCGCGCCATTCAATTCAACAACACCATCAACAGTAGCTCCAGGAAAAATAACTCCATCATCTGCACCACCGGAATCGACAATCCCTTTTGAACCGAAACCGACAACTCTAACATCTCTTCCTGTAAATTCAACAACATCGATGAATGCGCCAAAAACAATAACACAAACTTCTGTTCCATCAAAGTCCACTTCACCGTTATCTGCAATTCCAGAAACAACAGCACCACCTGCTCCAGTCAATTCAACATCACAATACGCTATGATGACAGATACAACAGCATCAATATCTGTCCTAGTTGATTCAACAACGCCATCAGCTGTGGTGACAGAAACAACAACGTCGACATCTGTTCCATCAAATTCAACTACTCCCTCACCTGTAATTCCAGAATCAACCAAACCAATATCTGTTCTAGTTGATTCCAAAACATCATCACTAGCTGTTTCAAAAACAGCCACACCATCAGTTGTGGTGACAGGAACAGCGACGCCATCATCTTTTCCAGCTGAGTCATCAACAAATTCACCTGTCAGTATTTTGCCAGAAACAGTAGTGCCAACATATGCTTCATCAGATTCATCAACGATGTCAGCTGTCTTAATTCAAACAGCAACAGCAACAACCTTAACTCCTCCATCAGATTCAACAATACCATCAGCTTCTATGACAGGAACAACAAAACAAACATCTGTTCCGATAAATTCAGCAACATCCATTACGGTTGTTCCAAAATCAACAGCACCAAAATCTGATTCAACAACGCCATCAGAAGTGGTACCAGAAACATCAATACCAAATACAAGATCAGCTGTTGTGTCACAAACACTGACATTTACATCTCTTTCATCAAATTCAACAACAATATTAGTTGTACCAGAAACAATTGCTACCTCTTCTCAAGTGGATTCAGCAGCTGCATCAACTGTTCTGTTGAATGCGACATCACCAACACCTCTTCCGTCGGACTCAGTCACGTCAATATCAGCGCCTGTTGTTCTTGAAACAAAAGCACCAGCATCTTCTCGATCGTATTCGACAACAACAACGCCTGAAGCGCCAAAAACATCAACGCCAACATCTTATCCAGTCGATTCAACGACAGCATCACTCTTTGTACCAGCAACAGCTTCACTAACATCTGTTTCATCAATTTCAAGAGCACAACCGTCAGCACCTGTTGTTCTTGAAACAAAAGCACCAGCATCTTCTCGATCGGATTCCACGACCACATCGCCTGAAGCGCCAAAAACATCAACGCCAACATCTTATCCAGTCGATTCAACGACAGCATCACTCTTTGTACCAGCAACAGCTTCACTAACATCTGTTTCATCAATTTCAAGAGCACAACCGTCAGCACCTGTTGTTCTTGAAACAAAAGCACCAGCATCTTCTCGATCGGATTCCACGACCACATCGCCTGAAGCGCCAAAAACATCAACGCCAACATCTTATCCAGTCGATTCAACGACAGCATCACTCTTTGTACCAGCAACAGCTTCACTAACATCTGTTTCATCAATTTCAAGAGCACAACCGTCAGCNTGCCATAAAGCCGCATGTTCATAAAGCGGCAGAACATTGTGATGTGTTTGCAGAAAACATTTCTGAGTTGTCCTAATTACCTTTCTTACAATGCTAATAGTCACCCTCCTCACCCCTTTGTTTTTCGTGTTTAAACGTTCTTTGGCGTGGTACCTACTTTAGTCATAATACTTTTTTCATCTTAAAGAAGTTATTACTGAGTTTTTATCATGAATGATGTTGTAGCTGTTGTCATAGCAGGATGTGTAGCAGGATAAGTAACTTTTCTTGCTATGTTTAATAACATAATGCCATGAATGATCAAAACTAAGGAAAACAAAAATTACATATAATTACATGACTCAACAAAGCTGTTTCCACTCTGAGGAAACATTCCTAGGGAAACCTCTAAAATGCAATATCAGAAACAGTTTAAAAATGCGGTTCTTAAGTCTGTGTCATTAGTCATGGAAAATTACTAATTATTATTCATCGCAAAAAAAATCAGCCTAAAAAACCTTAAAATTTTCTCCACAGCCATTTCCACACCTTTTCGATGTTAGAGTTAAGCTTTCTCACTATTGCACCGAACATAAAACGACATTTTAGCAGAACTCAAACAAAAGAGTACAAAAAAGGTAACGCTTCCTTTTATCGAACAACAACAAACATATGAAACATATGAGTGAACTGCGGTTATGAGACGTATATAAGAACGATCCTTCGCAGTAAAGCACTATTTGAGCAATAGTGGAAATCAGACCTGAAAAAAAAAATTTCAGGCCTGTACGGGATTCGAACAGGTCTGATTTCCACTATTGCTCAAATAGTGCTTTACTGCGAAGGATCGTTCTTATATACGTCTCATAACCGCAGTTCACTCATATGTTTCATATGTTTGTTGTTGTTCGATAAAAGGAAGCGTTACCTTTTTTGTACTCTTTTGTTTGAGTTCTGCTAAAATGTCGTTTTATGTTCGGTGCAATAGTGAGAAAGCTTAACTCTAACATCGAAAAGGTGTGGAAATGGCTGTGGAGAAAATTTTAAGGTTTTTTAGGCTGATTTTTTTTGCGATGAATAATAATTAGTAATTTTCCATGACTAATGACACAGACTTAAGAACCGCATTTTTAAACTGTTTCTGATATTGCATTTTAGAGGTTTCCCTAGGAATGTTTCCTCAGAGTGGAAACAGCTTTGTTGAGTCATGTAATTATATGTAATTTTTGTTTTCCTTAGTTTTGATCATTCATGGCATTATGTTATTAAACATAGCAAGAAAAGTTACTTATCCTGCTACACATCCTGCTATGACAACAGCTACAACATCATTCATGATAAAAACTCAGTAATAACTTCTTTAAGATGAAAAAAGTATTATGACTAAAGTAGGTACCACGCCAAAGAACGTTTAAACACGAAAAACAAAGGGGTGAGGAGGGTGACTATTAGCATTGTAAGAAAGGTAATTAGGACAACTCAGAAATGTTTTCTGCAAACACATCACAATGTTCTGCCGCTTTATGAACATGCGGCTTTATGGCAGCAACTTCATAAGACAGAAGAATGCCAAGGCCAAAGCATAGAATTGCTTTCCTTTTTCTATGGGGAAGTTTTGTATGAGAATTAAAACAGCTAGTCCACCATGCAGTTTGAACAGCCAAAGCGAAAAAAAAAAAAAAGACTTCAGACATAAAAAAAATATAAAGAGCTCTGGCTGTTGTGTCATTGGGCAAATGAGATATGAATAATCAACCATTCAAAGCGTACTGATCAATATATTTATAGCTATTTTGGTTGATGCATATGAGAGGTCAAGGAGGAAAAAGGAGTTTATTTTTTCGACGCAGAACTTGGGATTTTCAAGTGCAATACCATAAGAAATAAAGGGAAAGAGTTTCTTGCTCACACCCATTCTACAATGAAGTCGCTGGGTAAATATCTTTCAAAAAAATGTTTCTCAAAGAACCGAAGCTATGATGTAAAAGAGAGCGGTGAAGAGCAATGCTTCACTAAATCATCTAACGAAGAAGCTAAGAATAACATTGTTATGCCGCCAGCTTCGCCAACAATAGCCCTTATCGCATTTACGCCCACTGTACGAGAGCTCAGCGGACTTTAAAGTTTCGAAACGAGGCTATCGGGTCAAGAGGTTAAAAGTGACGTTTCAGAAATAGAAATTACAAAACCAAAAGATAATTTGCTTACGGTCGAACGCAAGGCCTGAGGGCCTTGAAACGTGACTCTGAGTTAAACCTCAGAAAGGCCGACAAAGGAATGACAACCGCAGTCATGAACAAACGCGACAAAATTTTGCCGTTCCCTTCCGAAAGGACAGCCATTCTTTCAATCTTCCTTTCGTGATGCCAGGACAATTACCACTAAGAATTTTAACCTTTTCCTCGGGAGAAAAAAACGCAGATTCTAGAGTTAGACATGGAGTGGTTCTGGTGTTTCTCGAGAAACGTTGACCCGATAGCCTCGTCCTGAAACTGTAACTCCGCGGACCCTTTGCATTGCAGACACAAATGCGATAAGGGCTATTGATATCACTTATCCTGTTAAACTCACCACGGAAGAGGAAGTTAAGACTGACAACTTCCGTAGTTGTATCAAAGACATTCCTTATGAAGATGACCTGCTTGGTGAAATAGAAGTCTCAATTTATGGACATCCACACTGAGTTGATATCTGTTTTGAGCTTTGCCGTAACAGATTCGAAAACAGAAACAAGGCTGTAAGTTAAACTTATGGGGTTTCTTTGAGGCTTAATAGTGAATTCAAATGAGTAAAATGTATTTCTGGTAAGAGCATTCATGATACTACATTCTGACAACAGAAGCTCCTAACTCCTAAGACTTACTAACATCTTATTTCGCCTCACAATATCACCTGTCAATCAAACATTAAATGTCTCTTGATTGTTAGAGAAATTCTCCTTGTAAGCACCATAGGGAATGTATAGAGAAAAGTATGGAGAGCTTGCATACTGATGTTAGAATGTAAAGGGTTGAGCGGTATCAATAGGAACCATTTTTTAGTGACAGATATTTGGATTCCTCAATGTAAGAGTTCATTTTTGATGCTTAGGTATATGGAGCGTTCAAGGAAGAATAAAAGTAGCTCATTGATGAATTTAAAGTAGCCTTTTTTATATTTTGCTCACAACTGAACTCTTGCAGAAGGCATAACAAGAATGGAGGAAAATAGGATGGAACGTCATAATCTCGTCACGATTTCCTGGTCCACGGTGATCTACTTCAAACGAGCTTGTACGGACGTCAAGGATCAGACAGCGTTTTTGTTCCACAGTAGTTTTACTAGGTCAGGCCAGCAACTGACATGACCTCTTACCTACACAACTTGCAATCGCTGGTTGTAATGGCAAATGTAATCGCACAATGAAATTGCGGGATGTAATCGCGAAATGCAATCGAAAAACCGTTACAACGTAGTTTCTTAAGTACGAACTGGTGTGAAGTCCCATTGTTTCACAAATTACAATATTTGATCAGTAACTCAAAAGAGCGGACTAAAAAGGTCTCTTTAAAGTAAACCGATTTCTTGTTAAATACTCTACCTGTTTCTACGACGGAGTGGATTTTAAAATTGAGAAAGCGGATACAATAGACTTTAGGTCATTAAAAATTGGAAACTTAGGTGAGAATTCACAGCTCTGATATTAAAAATACACCTCTCTTAGTTACAATAGAGCAGCTTAGGAAATAAATTAAAGTGAAAAGCAATTAAAAGTTTCTACTTATTTATGAAGGATTGGCGTGGAAAATTGTCGTGTGAAACAAATTGAGATTACGAGCACAAACTCAGCTCCCAACTACATTGAAAACCACTTTTTCCCGAAAGACCATTGACAATTATATTTACCTAAAAATTCATTAGTATTGAACAACAAAAGTACCGACATGCAGCTGTACAATGAAGACAAAATAAAAAAAATGTATTAGTCGAGTATTCAAAACTACGTGGCTTTTCTATATTTTCAAACATCACAATAAAGGAAACTCAAATAAATTGAAAACAGTTAGAGTAATAAAAAAAAAAAAAACCGAGAAATATGCTTCAAACAAACAAACGGTAAAATCGCTACATTTTCCCGTAACAATTGTTTGTTAAGATTGTCAAGGTTGCTGATGATAAACGGCATGTTTTAGCCTCGTGCGACTCTTTCAAGAGTCGCACGAGGCTAAAACTTAAAAGTCTTTCCTGCTCTCCCAACTTCTCGTTACTTTTTTTGTTTATTACTATTGAAGTTTTAGGTTTTAGGTTAAGATAAATGGTAATGGTCTTTCTAGAAAATTGGTTCTTATGGTAGATGGCAACTGAGTTTGTACTCGTAATCTCAATTTCTTTCATACTATAATTTTCCATACCAACCTTGCATAGATAAGTAGAAATTTTTAATTGCTTTTTCACTTTTATGTATTTTTGTATGACTTACTTAAAGGAATAAAAATCACCTGGATTTGAAACCAAGCCTGCGTTTCGTCTTAAAGTTCCGCAACGATGTGTTTGCTCAATAGCAGCTAAAACGTAAACAATAAGTTGCGGATTCAGCTAAAGATAACTTGATTTAGTGACTGTCACAAGATGGTCGCTACACCGCAGGAGATAGTAGAACAGGAAAGATCTCCTGTACCGTAGAGCTGCAAAAGACTTCCTAATCTCGAAAAACTTCAATGCTGCCGGGTGAGTAGTCAAGCAATTCAAGTGCCACACTTTAAACTTGAGATTAATACGTCTAGAGGAATAAAGAAATAGAGGAATAAAGAAATAGAGGAATAAAGGCTGATAGTTTCGAAAGAAACTGTTTGGGGCTGCGTCGGTGGGAGTAACGAAATAATTTGGATATATCTACAAAGTTGAAATGGTAAATTGGCCACCGTAAGGATTACAAAAGCTGACGTTTCGAGCGTTAGCCCTTCGTCGGAGCGAATAGGGGAATTGTGGGTTGTGTGTGCTTTTAAAGGCAGAAAATGGAGCGCCGTTATTGAGTGTGAGCACTAGTTCGGCTAAGCGTAGTAGTGTTTCAGATTTAGGTTCCTTATCAGTACAATTTAAGTCCCACACTTTAAACTTGAGATTAATACGTCTAGAGGACATTCCCTCTACCTCTATTTGAGATCTTGCAGTCATATCAAGAAATTTTCATTTATTGGCCTTTATATAAATATTTAATTACCTTATTTGCTGAATACGAAAGAGTAGCGACAGATCTCTAACACAGTATTTTTTTTTTATATTTTTCATTATGGAACATATAGCATTCCCAGGGTTACATAATTTTAGTTACGTTTTGTGGAACCTTTCGGGTCTGTTGTTGTATACAGCATTAACTAGCTTTTATTGCATGAGAGAATGAGTCAATCCTTTAGAGTCGTTATGGTTCTCTAAACATTGCAAGTCACTTTGAATTTGAATGTCACGAATGCTTTTGGTAATGGGTGAACCCAGGGGTCTAAAAGATCCTGTCATGTTCGGAATAGAATAATCTGAAATTTGAATGAAGGAAGATTCAAGGCCTCATTGCGCAGCCAACGGATGTGGAGAAATTATGAATAACACAAAAAGTAAAATGTTGATGGCGGGTTAAAAAAGGTAACGATATGAAAGGAAAAAATTAGCTCAACAAAGAAACGAAAGAGCCACATTACAGCATCCTAAAATGTCTTAACACATCTGCAGATATAGTACATCGAGTTAATGGGCAGTAATAAAAACGTAAAACAAAGGCTGAGGACATAAAGACGCTGTTCCTTAGACACATCCTTAATTCAATAATTTTTAGTTGTCTGAAATAGTAATATTTCATCACCAGGATTACGAAAATGTCGTAACGCACCTGCTACAGTAGACGAGTTAATGGGAACATTAAAATAAAGCAAATACGAAGTAGACGCGACATTTTCACAATTCCACTATTACACTCCGGTTCCATTTTTCTTAAGAAAATTTCACCCTAGAAGCAGGAGAAAGACACATCGAGGTATTTGGACCAGTTCTCGAAAGTGATTTCAGGAGCTATAAAAGGTAAATTCAGTCATGAAATAGAGGAATAAAGGCTGATAGTTTCGAAAGAAACTGTTTGGGGCTGCGTCGGTGGGAGTAACGAAATAATTTGGATATATCAACAAAGTTGAAATGGTAAATTGGCCACCGTAACGATTACAAAAGCTGACGTTTCGAGCGTTAGCCCTTCGTCGGAGCGAATAGAGGAATTGTGGGTTGTGTGTGCTTTTAAAGGCAGAAAATGGAGCTACGTTATTGGTGGGAACATGGCAACGAGAAAAACANTAGGTGGCACGGAAAGCCGTAAAAATCTTGAACAAAAGCTCATCTTTCAAACCGGCAGTCTAAATCCCACAGGGTTCAACGAACGCTTTTCATTCCACTAATTTATTCATGTTTTTCTCGTTGCCATGTTCCCACAAATAACGTAGCTCCATTTTCTGCCTTTAAAAGCACACACAACCCACAATTCCTCTATTCGCTCCGACGAAGGGCTAACGCTCGAAACGTCAGCTTTTGTAATCTTTACGGTGGACAATTTACCATTTCAACTTTGTTGATATATCCAAATTATTTCATGAAATAGAGGTTTTGGTTCATCAACAACAATGCAAAATAAATAAATAATTAAAGGGGGCTATGTCTGACTTAACCCTCGAGGATCTAAAAAGGAAAAATAGAATTCCTCAGAAAGAGAGGCTAATATCGATCCATTTCGGTAAGTCTTTTAATTTTTGCCTCCGGTATATCTAAGTCTTTTTAATGATACTTATAGGTCTTAAGTGAGCTAAAATTGCCAAATTTTAGGCCATATTTTGGTTCATGGCTTAAACATTACTGTCTCAGCACACAACGTTAAATGTCGTACCATCCCAAACTTGCAAAACAAACTTTGCCCTCTTCTCTCGGTAGTTTCAGAAATTTTCGATCGGCTGGGCAAGGTTTAAGCAGGAAAATGAATTACTGAATTAATTTTAAAAAAAAAGGAAAAGAAAATATGGACGTTGATATAAGTAGCTGGTGAATGAACTTTGTCATATTCGGTGACTTCCGATGATGTTGCAGAGTTTTAAAACATTTTGAAGTTGCTCTTTTGAAAAGTCAAAAATGAAAAAAAGAAAAAAAAACAACAACAATAAAGACAGGCAAACAAACAAACAAACAAAACAATCTTATTTGTGGTATTTCAGAGAGATTAGACCAGACTTTTCCTACTGAAGTATTTAAGGTATGACAAACAGGTATTTTTCCTTGAACGTTGCTGACCACGCGTCAATTTCGCTTGTGTAGGAGCTCATAGATAGCATGGGCATCAAGAGTGACTTTTGTACCTCATGCTCCAGCTATTGAATTTAAATTTTACATATGTCATTTGGTGCCAAATGTTTGGTAAATATTGTTGACACCTGACTATGATCAAAACAATAAATAAGGAGTTGCGTAGAGAAAATTTTCTCGAGATATTTTGGAACGTGTTCTCCTCTATGTGCAGATTGAAAATCTACTTTACGTCGTCCTAAGAAACTGTCACAAGTCTTATTCGCATTGTATTGCATTGATTTGAACAAATATGAGAATTTTAACAGGTGGTTTGGAAGCTTAGAGCAGGTATGATTTTTTTTAGGATTCGGAGGACTCCAATTCAAGGCAGTAATGCCTGAAAGTAAACCGTTTTAGTTATACGGCAACAACGAAGCCATTTAGACTTTTGATAGGATAGCACCTAAGTCTTTGAGACTATAGAATAAAAAAAACCGCGTTCTTTTTCTGAGACCACAATGCTAAATTAATGAATGACAGTAGTCTGACGGCTATTTATTTTTCAGAGTTTTATGCCTTGCCTGCTGTGAGCTTGTTATATATTTTTATCCTAAAACTCTGATTTTTAGTTATTGGTTTTGTTTTCGCCATAAAACTCGATAAATTTTATCAAAATTAAATATTTTCTTACTAAAATATCCATAGTAAGTGAGGTGTCTTATACCTTTCTGGCTTAGGCATAAATTCTAGATTTTTCGTCGCTCAATATGTTGATTTGTGGTTGTTTCTTAGCAAATTTCTCCAAGAAAGGAAATATTCTTCAGTTATATAATAGCTTTATAAACACGACACAGGCATTCTTTGTGTTCGGCTTTGCATTCTAAAGACTAATTCGTAAGCTGAAAGCTCCATGCTGTTCGGTAAATTGTATAAATGCTTCATTGTTTGAATTATTAATACTAAGACGTGTTTGCTGTATATCTTCCTTTAGCTCTCTTGACGCTTACAATTTAATAAATAAGCCGTTAATCGTATGACGAGCAACGTAGGAATACGTTTTTATTGTCAGTAATGGTTGTCAAAGAGTGGAATTCTTGGCAGGATGCTCTGTGAACGAACATGGAAATGAATAGACTTCCATAACAAAGCAACAGCGCCTCGAGATGAAGCTTTTGATGCGGTTATGGATTTTCCTCGTTTGCTTGTGCGTTAGCACCAGATTAGAAGAGTCCGAGTGTCCAAGTAAGTACGTACGCAAGAAAATATGACTGGTTAAAGTTAAGTGCGAATTCAAGTTGTGATCCTGCCTGCCAATGTTTTGTTTTTATTCGCAGGGCAATATGGTTTTCTTTTCAGTTTAGTAATCTAGTAATGAATCCTTTCACAGGAAAATGCAATGTGCCTCTCGGCATCGAAAGTGGCCTTATTACGGATGATAAACTCTCGGCTTTTTCATGTTATGGGAACGATACGAGGTTTGGAGCTCATCGAGCAAGGCTCAGACTTCACTCCTGGCCGCCGGGTTACAGAGCTGACAAAACTATTCTTGGTGTCACGGAGAATTATTGCTGGATTAAAATCGATTTGGAAAGGGAACAAATTGTTACTGGAATAGCGACTCAAGGGTATGGCAATGCTTCGGTTTCAGAATGGGTCACCAAGTATGAATTGATGTACGCCACCGGGACCGACTTCGTGAAATTTGTGGACAGTGACGGAGAAATAATGGTACGTTTTGTTCGCAAGTAGATCCGATGACTTTCATATGACCGGAAGATGAGTACAATTCCAGAAAATAAGTCATTCCAGTCGTGGGCTTTTTTTTACAGGAATTTTTAAATACATCGTTTTCCCATTTTGTTGCAGCCTGGGGAAAAGGTACTTGTTAGAAATGTAATCAGTCTAACGCTCCATTCACAGTTGTTTACAAGGATTCGTTACTTGTTACAAAAAGAATACAATTAACTACAAACTGTGGTTAATTTTTTAATTCTTCTCCTTCTTGGTAATAGATCCCATCTAACTGAAAAGTGGACATTTTTCTCCATTCCTCAATTGCTTATTTATTTTCCAAATTTCTGAATGATATTCATGAATGATATGAAAATTTCCATCTTTATTACAAAGATTACATACAGTCTTCGAAAAAAAGTTCTCTCAAGGCCTTGTACTTTATTTTACCAGTAGTATTGACTCAGCTTGGGTTTCTTCTCAATTTCATGATCAGCTACGGTATATTCAATATCTTTCCTTTCAGAACTAGAAAATAATGTGAGTCGAAAACTCAATTTCAATTGATGACATCTCAAACACTGCAGTGCATGAACAATATGTAGAACGACATGATTTCCACAGTGACGAGTCCGCCATAGCCGTTCCGGCGCTACGTCAATCCTGAAAAGCTCTTGTTCTTTGAAATGGGAAGGTATAATCCAGACAATAGGATCCCTATTTCTCGCTAGAATATTTTAAAATAGACCCCTGAGGTCGCCATCATCTGCCAGAAAAAGCCTTTGGATCATTAAACATTACGTCTGAAAAAGGTCTGATTCAAATTATAAAGAAAAACCCTCGTTACGGTAACTAAAGGGTTTTGAGTATGCATTTTTATATAAAATGTTTACCTGTGGTATATGCGGTTTAGTTTGACGAACAACGCCGAGGATAAGTTATATATATTTTGGAGTGCGTATAGTTAGGTCTACAATAGGGTTGCGATGGGGTACCGTTGATATATCGAATGGCCAATCCTCAAAGCAAAAGAAATAAATGATAACAGAGCTTATGTCTACATAAAATTACATTTTTTTAGCAAAATATATATGTCATCAAAATGTGCTATGAAATTGTTCAATTGCTGTTCGTTGCAATCGTTGTTTACATATAAATTACAAGCTTAAAGAAGGACAATTATTTCTGCGGTTGTGTTTATTTTTAAACATACAATAGCAGGTTTCCACCACAAGAAGAACGCGCCCGCGTTATGCTGGTTCCTGGATGAGGAGCCAAATTTGAACGATTCAAAACGTGGGCAATCAAACATATCCAACAAGACCTGGATACATCTCAAATGTATCAGTTGTTTTAAGTGTGATTATAGAGATAACTTTGCTCGAAGCTTTTGATCCCTGTTATGTCCAATCGAAAAAATTGGCGGAGGCGGAATATCAGAGGCTTTGTTAACAATATATTTTTGTTTTTCTGCTCATCCACGTACAAGATATTCATTTACCCTTTACTCAACAGCCCTTGCTTGACTATGCCTTTCGAATTCGTGAATCTTTCATTTATGTGGATAGCCCAGAGTCGATAGAGATATACATAAGGTGCACTCCATACCCTTTATAAATCCTTGCATTTTAGGTAAGAAAATTTAGGAGTAGTTGCGTTTCAAAAGAAAGCCCATCATTTCTTTTTTTTACATTTCATTCATGCAATCTCAGGAAATAATAAACATCGAAGCTAGATATGCGTTGTAAACTTGGATAATGAGAGGCAAGACTAGGACATTATCCATTCAAACGACATTGGCACAGACATGAACTCAAATGTCCCTTTGAGAAAGACAGATATAGAGAGGCTTTTCCATCAATGTTTTCATAAATTGTAGATAAGAAAACTTATTTGTGTTCGTGTGTTTTTTTTTCGCCGTTAAAATGTCTTAAGCGATCAGGGTAGAGTGCTTTTGAATCTCATTGACACGCGAGTGATTATTATAAGTAACTCTATGCTACATTTCTGTTTTTTTCATAGACGTTTAAAGGAAATAGTGACAGCAATGAAATAGTAAGACACGACTTAGCAGCTCCTAGGATTACATCAAGTGTACTTTTGGTACCTCTTAATTGGACTAACAACATTGGACTCAGAATGGAACTTTATGGCTGCGAACCAAGTAAGAAAGTGTAGTTCAGGTTCAGATTTCCACGTAGGAACGAATACTTAGTAAATATAGCTAATTTTTAAGCCTCATCTAAAAATACTTGACTGAATTACTTTCCAAACGATTGCAGTCTCATGATTAAACGGCTATCATCAAAAATTGTCCAAGCTGTCCTCAGGTTTATTCATTGAACCAGGCGAATCTTCTGGGCCATTTTTCCATCTAAGCGAATATTTTGATTTGTATGAGGAAATGTCTTGTTGTACCTCTCACGACAATTATAAAAAATTCCCTAGTATTTAAAATAGGCGTACCGCCATTAGAAGAAGCTACTTCGCGGTTTGCCAGCATCTAGAAAAAAATTTCCGAGGTTTTCAACCCACTAATTACGATCTTTTTCAGTCACCACCAACCTTAAACTTCCCAGTTCCTTTTTAGTTTAATCATAGCTCTTAATAGCTTTTCGCAATCAGAAATTTATTATTTAAGGTGCAAATTTTCCCTTCTCTAAAAACATCGTGAGGTACACCATATTTTGTAAGGCACATCAAGTATGTGTGATCACCCTTGTGATCACTCCAGAGTAACTTAAATAACTAAGATTCCTATATAATTAAATCATGGGTTGCTTAACGGATCATTACTCTTTAATTTTATCGTAGCTTATTATTTCGAGGCGTGGCTGATGTTTCATAATACTACCTTCGCCTACAACTACTTAAACACTTCCAGTGATGAATACATACAAGAGGCATCCAAAGCGACGGAGGAGGTCACTACAGAGAATTTCTGTTGTTATCTTGATTGGCTTATACTTCTGTAGCTTACAAAGAGGGGGAGAAAGAGAGATAGGGGGAGAGAGAGGCATTGTGAAAGTAGAGTGTTTTGCTAAAGCATATACACTCTGACCCCGTCATTCAGCGGAGGTCCATGAGCAAGGAAAACACGCACGTAGATTCAAGTGTTGATAATATATTCTTTGTCTCATGAATAGCTTGTGGCAAAAATGATCACTTGCTGCGTCTGCTCTAGTCACTCACCCTTATCCCGGTGTCTACAGAGCCAGATTTAGGGCGTAATCAGTTACATTTGACGCTTTCCATTTTTAAAAAAAAACCTAATTTTAACCACATGTTAAATGGATTCAAAGAGAAAAAGTTCTGCATTTTGTTTCTGTTTCAGATTCAATGGTATTTCAAAACCGTAGGAGGATACCTCTACAACAAAGTCTTGAGATTAAGGTAAAGGTGTTACTTTGTTCATGAGTCGATGGTGAAAGAGCGTCTTGTATGGATGGCCTTATACACCGAATGACACGATTACGACCATTTGCACCCCTTCCGAATGGAAAATTGTGTTTATTATTTCTCTTTTTTATATCTTTCTTTTTCTTAAGTCCTCAACGGTCACCACAGTTAGCGACATTTGCCACAGCAGAGGTAGCAATTTACTGCACAGAAACCAGTGTTCATCGTCTGAGAGCCAAGCTAAAGGCATTCGTCCAAGAATCTAGCATTTTCCACCCAGGTTATCTAAATATAAGACAACCAAGTAAGTTCCCACCAAACCTCATCATTAAATAAATAGTAAACGTCAAGGGCATTCCAAAGTTCTAAGAGTGACTTGAGTAGTAACAATGAAGAAATCCAAGTAGAATTGATGACAATTGACTGGTGAAACTGCATTCAATCAATATCTTGAAAAGGATCAATCTCACCGTTTGAACTGTTTCTTGATTGAGTGAAGAAAGCACTAAGAGCAAAAAATGTGAACTAAACGACCTGATGCTCAGGAAAACGCAAGTAACTTAGTCACGATTGCTTTCAGTCCTGTATCTCTAATTGGTCGAGAAAGTAGTGTGAATTTTCTGGACCAGTCACTGAAAAACGCCAGAATGAAAGACAATGAAATTCATCCTTAACGTTACGTATTATTGGACCCGAATATTTTTACCAATCTTTGCAATCTATGATCTGTCGTTGTTGGAAATCCCTTTATCATGATCAGTTCCATCGATGTACGCCTTTTTTTTTTTCGATAGTCTTTCCTATATCAATATTTAGTTGAAATTCATGATTTTTTAGATCTCTTATATAACCTTTAATTCCATTGTCTCACTGAGAATGACATGCATATGTTCTCTTCCATTCCAGTTACGTGCGACTGCGATCCTCCTGCGGTTGATCTGCAGCTCAAGCATCGTATCCCTGAGTCAGATATTATATGGTCAGCTGACAAAAACTTCACTTTGAGACCAAAAGTGTCAATTAATTGTTCCTCGTCGATCCATGCAACGTACCGTTGGACGTTTTTCAAAATTGACCGCGAAACTAGTTTTTTCTCGCCATTTATCCTAATGGACCTCACAACTACACCCAAGATGACGTTACTACCAAGATTGTTTGGACCCGGCGAATTTTACGTCTCAGTAAATGTATCGTTCACAAACAATATCACAGACACGTCCGCTTATGACTTTGGGTTCTTCAGAGTCCGCATGCCAGCTCTAATGGCAAAAATAGTGGCACCTTCGTCAATAAAAAGAGATGCGGGGAATATAACGATTGACGGTTCCGGTTCACATGACACAGAGTACCCACAGGATCAGTCTAAAGGATTGAAATTTTTTTGGCAGTGCCGAAGGCTTTGCCAAGAAACTCTAATAACCCCATGTATTGAAACTGATTCTAATTCCATCCTTGAAAGATTTACGATTGATGCTTCTTCTTTAAAGCCAAAATGTACCTACGAATTTAATCTGACTGTAACAAGAGAGCCAAGGAGTTCGAGAGCAAGTCATAGGCTATACGTCGAGCCTGGAATACAGTTCTCTGTTGCGTAAGTTTAATTCATCTGTTGATGTACTTACATCTTTTTTTTTTTATTCAGTTATCGTAGTTCAAGTTTGAATATTTTGTACAGATATTTTAAAATGCACTCACATATAAATGCATTTTCCGACGTTAATTTGACTTGTTGATGTTTGAATGTATCTACCTATCTACTATCCTTTTTCAGCCGAGGTTTCTTAGTTGATAACCTCAACCTGCTATGCATATGCTCGATTAATACAAATGATTTGCTGTGAGATGTTCCTTAAAACCCCTTCTCGAAAAAGCCGTGTTGCTTTAATGGAACAAAAACCGTGAACATTTGAGAAAAGCAATTGCTCAAGAAACAGTTCTTGATGCGTGCGGTTTTAAGTTTCTTTTAACCACTCTAACTCTCTAAAGTACCATATTGACCCAGTTTCATTTCTTTCTTCAAGTAGTAGTTGTTTTTTTTTTGAGATTTGTATTTTGTTCTATGTTGTAACATTTTGTCTTAGTTTCTTTGTTTTTTGGTTTTTCGCAATAGATGCGTCAGTAATTGTGGAAGGAAGGTCAGCATTAAAAGACCCCTCTCCCTTCGTGTGATTTGCGTTAAAGAAGAGTGTGCGTCAATAGCGACCTTCTCATGGATGATTTTCTCAGAAGACGATCATGGAAACTTTACCAGGCTTGATATAAGTGGCTCGGTAGAAACTATCGCAAACATGACACAAATGAATATACTTAAACTTGAGAATCTTCTAGAAGTCAAAGACGGACAAAAATTACAAGTTAGAGTCACAGCCAATCCATACAAGAGCCGTTTTGAAGAACAAGCAGTCTATGCATTTATTGTCAACGCTCCGCCAACTAACTCTGAAGCGCAAATTATAGAAGAAGGTTGTAAGGTGATGCCTGAAGAAGGCTCTGCAATTATTACCGACTACTACATCACATGTTTGGGTTGGTATGACGAAGATGTTCCACTACAATATGCTTTCACCTACACGTTCGACTCTAGCACAATTCTCATTCAAGAGGGAAATGTGGGTAAAGTGACGACTAAACTTCCTTTGGGGGATCATGATCAAGACTACGATCGTCTTGTGGATCTGAAGATTATCGATGCTTATGGAGATTTTACTTCTGTGCCTAAGAAAATTAAGGTATAGGATTTGAATTTAAACATACAAGCAAAAAAGATGATATAAATGATGAAATTTGTGTTCAATCTGTTTAGATAGATAGAGTCACTTTCCATCGTCATTTTGTTGAGTAACATGCATATGGTGTTGCATGGCCTTTGCTTTCTTTGTACGTCACTGATACAACGACGAGCCTTTAGCGATATCATTTCAGAATCTTTTTTACGCTAAATGTCATACAAGTTCAGTACATACCAAATTGCATGATCAGCTTGAGGAAAAAATTGTAGTTGTCCATCATCACCCAGTTATCCGCTGGATCCCTATCAGGTGGATAGCGCAGTACGTTTTGGTTAGATATAATGAATATATGAAGTCCATATATTTTGAACTGCGGTATTAAATACGTATGATGCACGATCCTTCGCAGTAGATAGCGCTATTTAGGCAATAGCGAAAATCAGACCTGAAAAAAATCAGGCGTGTACGGGATTCGAACCACTGACCTCTGCGTATGATGATATGACAGATATATATCTGATTTATCATCACGGGTTTATTACGAATCAACTTAACGGCCTGCTCCCAGTTGGCTTGTTAGCTCAATTGGTAGAGCGCTGCACTAGTATCGCAGAGGTCAGTGGTTCGAATCCCGTACAGGCCTGATTTTTTTCAGGTCTGATTTTCGCTGTTGCCTAAATAGCGCTATCTACTGCGAAGGATCGTGCATCATACACAGTAAGTTTTGTTAAGCTTATCCGCTGGATAGGGATTTGTCCGTCCTTTGAACAACTGAGTCCAGATCAACGCAGAATATATCCAGGTCAACATTATCTTCTTTTCTCCTTACAGCGCTTTGATCAAACGTGTCACACCTCTCTGTTTTTGCTTTTAAGGTTAGGCCACCGCTTGTTTCAGAGAAGCTGTTAGATGTTATCAATAACGCAAAAGATGAAATGCGCGAGCTGGTTGCAGGTGACAATGTTAACAAAGCAGCTGATATGGCTATTACAATTCTCTCTGTTATTGATGGCAACGAAAAGCTTAAGAAAGACGAAACGGTGAGATCAGAACTTCTAAAATTCCATTTAATGAAAATGATTAACGAAAGGCAATTGAAAAAAGTGCGATCACAATGGTTTTGAAAAGGAAACATACACTTTAAGTAATCACTAAGTTGGAAACTCTGACCTTTAATTTGACAGTTTATCAGTTAATTATAGACCATTGAATCACGAACTAAATCGTTATATCTTTGAGCCCAGTACATGTATTTGTATTCCCAAATTTACTTCCAAGATCTCATTAATTATTCTCCTTATTGTCTTTCATACAATTCTTATGTTGTTAGTTTGTAAACTTTGGTATTGGACTAACTGATAATCTCTTGACTGATATTTTTCTTTCTTCTTATCACTTGTCCATTTTTTGTTGTATTGGTATTGTAAGAAGAAATTTTGTTTCGGTTATTTACCAGAGTTTGAAAGCTAAAAAAGAATGCTTTTGTCCTTTGTGGCCCAAATTCTCTATACTCTGATTGCCATTGACCCATAAAATGGAAATTCCCCCTCACTTATATTGCTTAAAGGCACCAAATGTCCTTGAATGTATAATTTTGCTTGCAGTTTAAGGATTCTGTGCTAAACATCATGTCTGGAGTAAAAGTTGACAAGATCAATCTGGTTACCAAGGTTGCCGTTATTACCGCTTACTCAACTAAACGGGTTGACCATTCCCTGCCTCAGAATTCACAGGTAAGTCAGGGATTGCACCTGAAATGATGGATTGTTTGCTTTACACAGTGAACAGCGCGTGACAAAGAAACAGTTATACCTACAAGCAATTCAGCAGTAGATTTTGAATTATTTTAATGAGGATTTGCCATGATCTTTTTTGGTCTGAGAAGTTTGTTTACTTCCATACCTCTTGAGGTTTTTAAAGAGGGACCTATTTTGGTATTTTGAGACCCAAAAAAAAAGCGACGTGCAATCCTAGGTAGAATTAACAAGCTTTTTCCTGAACAAAGCAAGTGCACCCACCAAATAATTCCTCCAGTCAGGTAATATAAGGGCCCCCACAATATTTAAATGAGCATAAAAAGCCGCTTCCGTCCCAGACAATAGCACCACCACTGATGTTTTAGTTTAAGATATCTGGGAATGCACACTCACTAAATTTGAATACGTTTCTATGGTACACTCACTCGTTGCTTCAACTTGTTTCCCAAAGGAGGATGCATTGACCTTAATAAGAAAAACAACAACATTCATGCAAAAAATGAACAGCAGTACTATAAAAGATTTGGGAGTCATTGGAGAGATAGGTACGAACATATTAACAGGGATTGGAAACGTTCTAGCCTCTTCTTCTAAGGATATGGATTATGAATCTCCGAATAAGGAACCTGATTTTTTGAAAAATGTAAGTAAACATTGCTTTGGGCTCTTTTCTATAGGAAAAATTTAACAAGTATTTAGAGTAACGTTTATTTATTTGTAAATACTGTTCGGAGTAACCACTTTGACATTTGAACTAAGAATCCAACAGGTGTCTCAATTAATTTTAATCTAATCTGTTCTAATTTTCCATTGATGCATACTACTTTTTGTTGTGTCTTTTGTTTATTAAGAACTGCAGTTGTTTTCTCCCTTTTTCCTTTACATCTGTAATAATAATAATAATAATAATAATCTTTATTGAGGAAACTTTTTCATAACAAGTATGGTTTTCAAAAAGGACCTCGAAACTAGATATATATAGTAGAAACAAAAAGCAATAAAATTACAAAGGGATTAAAAGCATACAAAAAATGCATAAAAAATTAAAAATAAGTATAAATAAAAATTAAACGTAAGAAGCGATATTAAAAACTTAAAAACATTACGTTTAAAACTATTGACATTCTTTGAGTCTTTGATAATCTGACTGAGGTAGTTAAAATCGGAAACAGCATAATGGTTATGTCTCGTCTTAACAACCCACAAGTTACCTGAGAATATGCACGAGGAGAAGATCAATGTCCAACCAGTTTCTGATCAAAGTCTCTAACATTTCAATAAAGGCTGATAGTTTCGAAAGAAACTGTTTGGGGCTGCGTCGGTGGGAATAACGAAATAATTTGGATATATCAACAAAGTTGAAATGGTAAATTGCCCACCGTAACGATTACAAAAGCTTACGTTTCGAGCGTTAGCCCTTCGTCGGAGCGAAGGGCTAACGACGAAGGGCTCCGACGAAGGTCTCCGACGAAGGGCTAACGCTCGATACGTCAGCCTTTGTAATCGTTACGGTGGCCAATTTACCATTTCAACTTTGTTGATATATCCAAATTATCTCTAACATTTCGCTTCAGCGCTTCAGTTCTCCTATCTCTTTTACAGGGCAAGAAAATCACCTCAGAATGTGTGGAACTGGTAAACACAATCACTGCAGAAGAGGAATTGTGTGCAAATCCTACAATCATCACCACACCTTACATAAATTTAACAGCTTGCATTGAAAAAGCCACTGAAATGAAAGTAAGCAAGCTGCTTAAGGGTGAGAGTGGAGTCAAGCTACCTGATGCCAAGGATCTGTTTCCGGCTGATCTCTTAGACGACAACACCGTGGTGGATGTCAAGGTCAGGAGCAAATATAGCTAGAGCTAGCCATGAAGTGCTTTGGTAGCCACTTCAACTTAGGAAAGAGGATGAGTTTACTTCTTTTTATTTGTCTACTTGGGGGTAGAAACTTCTTAGTGCCTACCGGACAGAAGTTTGATTCCTTACTGAGAACTGGAAATTTATGTCAGTTTTTTTTTCGCTTACTTATTTACTTCAGTTTTCTTAGTTGGAGGTATTTGTGTCATTGATCAACAATTGATAAATAAGTTGCCTTCCTGCTCTCGGGTCTGGTTGTGTCTTCTCCGACCTTGAAGACGATGAAAATGTTCTCTTCATTCTAATATTTACATTTCTTCGATATTTCAGCTTGTGTCTTTTAAAAAGAATCCTTACACATGGCATCCGAAATCCAGAAGTATAAAATCATCTGTTCTTGATGTTACTTTAAAGAACGTTACATCCGGGAAAGCACTTCATGTGGAGGGTCTCAGCAAACCTGTTGAAATGTTCATCAAAAACTGGCACCGGGAAAACGATATACAAAAGAAAGAAGTGTTCTTTGTAAAACCAAGCCCTCCAAAATCGACAAAGAACATGCGATTTCACAAAATCGATCTTAAATACGGTGATGCTGATGCAAATATCCGAATTGAACCATTAAGAAACGAAACACTCGAAATCTACATCAGGTACAAAGTGAGACCAACACCGGCAGAGAATGACTTTCAGACAGTTGTCCCAAATATTTCCTCATGCTTAAGTTACTCAGAAGAGAATGGTTTCTCTGATTGTGCCTCTGATCCTTATTTGTTTACCATATCCCCTTCGATCACCGGACATACGGGTACTCACTTTATTGGTATAAGGAACGCCCCTCAATCCTCTGAGAAGAACAATACTCAAAGTAGAACACGCGTCAAGAAATCATGCCGTGGGACTAACGGTCGCCAAAAACGGTCCTGCGTCGAAGTGAAGCCACCTCCACTTCCGGAAAATATTTTAAAGCAACAATTTCAGAACAATACCGACGTGCAGTATAAACTGTTCATCACCATGGGTCTGTGCATGTACTGGTCCCCTGAGGACGAAGAATGGACCAATAGAGGATGTAAGGTAGGAATATAATATTAGTTTCGTATAGATCAAATTTGGCATACTGCTTGCTAATTAAAATAATAAAGATTTGATTCAAAGTAGGCCACGTACATCAAGTTCCTTTCCAAGCACAAATTTGTTATAGAAAGAAGCACCCAGTAAGTTTTGAAATGAGAGAGTATTACATTGTGTATTTGCAATATCCTTTGCATATCGTTTTGAGAACTTCTAATTGAAACCGTGTACATCAGCAGTTGAATTTCTTCTTGCATTAACCGCTTACTAGAAAATACTCGTTTTGCTTATTGTTTCGTATTCCTTCTTAAAAAAGGTTGGCCCAAAAGCCACACCTGGAAAACTTCAATGTTTCTGCACGCACCTGTCAGCTTTTGGAGGTGACCTGTTCGTGGCCCCAAACCCAATAGACTTTGATAAAGTTATGGCGGAGTTTGGGAACCTTGCAGCCACCGGGAACTTCGTTGTTTTGGCATTTGTCTGCGTGGTATTTGGATTGTACGCCATCGGTCTGGTTATCACCCGAAGAGCCGACAAGATAGACGAATATGAGGTACATGTGTTTTATAATCTAGTTTTCTTATAGTTTGCCGTCTGAAAAAAGAACTCCGGGCCTCACGAGCTGAAAGTAGTGCGTTGGTTAGTTGTTTGGAGGTGTCCAGCGACGGGAAAGTTTCAGCTGGAAAAAACTCATAATCTATGAAAGGAACATCTTACGTTTACTCAGAAGTTAACTTATGGTTAGTTTAATTCTAAAAATAAAAACACCTTGCTCAGAGTACTTGGTTATTTTTTTCTCAGATTGCACCAAACATCCATGTGATAATAGGACAAGAATGTACCTTCACATACAACATCTCAATACAAACAGGAATTTGGAGGAACTGTGGAACTACAGCGAACGTGGCAATCATCCTGTTTGGCGAGAATGGATGTACGCCTCCTGTGCTCTTAACACAGAGTCAGCTGGGAAAGAGATTTTTCGCACGAGGTAGCGTCAACACATTCACAATTCATCTCCAAGAATCACTTGGGTCTTTGTACAAAATCAAAATCTGGCATGACAATTCTGGAGAAAGCCCGGCTTGGTTTTTTCACCAAGTCTTGGTGACTTGTAATGCCACAGACGAAAAGTGGCATTTTCTTGGAAACCAGTGGCTTGCTCTGGAAAAGGGAGACGGAAAAATCGAAGCCGACATCATTTCCGCTGGTCAAAGTGAATCTTTGTCCTTTAGTAACTTGTTCTATTTCAGAGGTGCTAAAACCCTTAGCGAGAAGCACCTCTGGTTATCATTATTTACCAAAGCTCCACACAGTACTTTCACTCGCAGTCAACGTCTTTCATGTTGTCTGTCAATCTTGTTTGCAACTATGGTCGCCAATGCGATGTTTTACCAGCAAAGCATAAATAACGCTGAAACCTTTCGCGTCGGTCCTATTCAGCTATCCTGGTCTCAAATAAGAATTGGCCTTCAAAGTGGGCTGGTATCGATTCCCGTGAATGTTCTCGTCGTTGCTATTTTTAAGAATATCAGACCATCTGCACTGATACACAGAGGAAATAGTCAAAACGGAGAAGACGAAGAGAAAAAAATTGGTTGCTTCCCTCATTTCTGTGTTTATATTGGCTGGGCATTATGTCTTATGGCGTCACTGGTATCAGCGGCTTTTGTTGTGTTTTATAGCCTCATGTGGGGTAAAAAGGTAGCCAATCAGTGGCTCACTTCCGTTATGATTTCGTTTTTCCAGGACATTGTGGTAATTCAGCCAGTGAAGGTGGTTATAATAGTTTCACTCTTATCACTTATCTTCAAAAAACCAATCGAAAATGATGAAATACGGGGACAAGATCACTCCAATCAATGCGTAGAGAAAGGGATAACTTCCTTTCCACCCAGAAACGAGGAGTTGAACAAAGAGCGCTCAGCAAAAATTTTGAGAAGGAGACTTGCGAAAACACTGATAGAAATTGGTATCTGCGTTTCTTTCTTGCTTCTTCTTGTGATTGTTTGTTATGGAAACCGTGACAGTAATAGATTTCGACTCACCAGGGCAGTGGAAGATGTCTTCCTTAACTTCGAGAAGGTTTGTATGAAAATATCTATTTGTTTCCTCTTTGGTACATACAGTGTTTGTTCAATCCTAAATTATATTTTTATCGCTATAGTAACATCTGTTTACTGTGCTCAACCTTCCAGGTTCATTCATGACATAATCATCGTCATACTTCCTGTAAGCGTTAACGCCACAGGTCGCTTACCTCAACAAGAGAACAAATTGCAATTGAAAATCGTATGTTTTTTATGCAGTACGAGTATCTCCCAAAATTAACTTAAAGACAAAACGTAGATTTAGATAGGCTGGCTGCTCTTGTAGACATTCATTCATTTGACAAAATTTGCTATTGTATTGATGACCTGGTTACAATAAACCCATGGCTACGCTATTTTCTTTGATTTACAGGTGAACAACATTACGTCATTCTGGACTTGGACAAGGACAACTTTATTAACAGGCCTTTTTGACGTGAAATGGTACAACGGAATGGCCTTTTCATACAAGGAAGGATTCATCAGCAACAGAGAAGCTTTCATGATAGGAATGCCACGATTAAGACAGAAGAGAATTAAAGAAGGTGAGAGAATAGTGGATAAATCCTTGAGGGTTCTATCGTGTTGTCACAAAGATTTCATTCTTGAAAAAGTTCCGGTTCTACAGAGAATTTTTTGCTTTTTCCTTGCAACTTTTCACCGATGTACATATAGAAAAAGATGAGTGGCATGATCATTTTTTGACAAAAAAAAAAGAAATGCAACTGAAACGTTTTCTAATTAATTCATCAATATTTAACACCTTTTTTTTTATTATGTCCTTCAGATCCGACTTGTCAAGCTATTCACAATGAAGCAGAACTTGTCCGGCGGTTTCCAAGATGTATTCCACATTACAGCACAGCAACCGAAGACAAAACCAAATATCATCTACAGAGATGGTTTCCAGTCAACGATTACCGCGAATTTAAACATCAGTTTGAAAAGTTCTATCGTTGTCCTAGGCCCTGGCGTTATGAAACAGCCGAGGAGTTGGACACATTGTCATTTCAGGGACTGAGGTCGAAATATTCGGGGGGCGGTTACATTGCTGACCTTGGCTACAATACCGATGACGCACTACAAGTTATTGACAGCTTGGAGATGAATGACTGGATTGATAACATGACAGCCGCTGTTTTCATAGAATTTAACATTTACCAGCCTACCACTTCACTTTTCAGTGCTGTAAAGTTTCTATTTGAGAGATTTCCTAACGGTGGAACAAATACCATCAGAAGGGTCGAAACTTTGACGATTTATTCACCAAAAGATCGTTTTTTTCGAGGCATCTATGAGACTTCTCATTTACTCTTTATGCTCCTTCTTCTCCTCTGTGTGGGCACAGAAATTGGCAAATTATATCAACAAGGTTGTAAATACTTTAAGAACCCATGGAGTTGGCTGGAAGTTATTCTCTTGTTGAGCTCAGTTGTGTCCATGGCCATGTTTTTCCTGAAAGAATCATACACGAGCGAATTCGTCGCAAAGGTACAAGAAAACCCATTTCAAAGCTGGAGCATGGACAACATTGCATTGTGGTCAGACCTTGAAGTGACGCTCTTAGCAGTTGTTGTATTTCTAATTACGATGAAAGTCTTGAGAATCATTCGCTTCAATCCCCACATTATTCAAATGAGAATGACGCTCATCAGTGCCTCGAAGCATTTTACCTCGTTCACCTTCGTCTTTTTAACGATGATAATCTCCTACGTTACGCTTACGACGCTAACATTTGGTAATGCCGTATATGAATACCATTCGTTCTCGAAATCATTCAGCTCCATACTGCTGATGCTTATAGGTGCCAAAGCTCCCTTCCACGAACTTCAAGGAATCAACATCGTTATTGGACCTTTTTTCGTATTTGCTTACATGGTAACCATTGTCATGATCTTTTTGAATATGTTTTTGGCTATACTTAATGATGCGTACACGCAGTCCCGTAAACTCGGACATAAAGGCAGCGAGGACCTAGAGCTATTCAGACTATTCAAGGAGAAAGCCAAGAGAGTTGCTAAGAAGACTAGAGTGGCAGCGATCAAAGTTCTTGAAGCGATACCACACTTACTATGGCAGAGGCGGTCAGAAACTGCCGTTACGTTTGAAAAAGAGGCTTTTGTGTCCAGCTCATTTGAAGAAAGGAATAAGAACTTTGGATTTCACGAAGGCGATAATCCCTCTCTCACTGATATAATAGCTTTATTAAGCGAAATAAAGCATGACATCAGCGATTCTATTCTTTCCCTCGATGACGTCGTTCCTATAGTAACGATTGATAATGACGGCGAAAGCACAAAGTCTTGTCGACCCGACAGCTCGTTGGATTCATTTGACTTTTATTCGTGTTCCTCAAGCTCGTTATTTAGCCCTGAATCAGAAAGTGAAATTGCAGAGCTGGAAAATCTTATTTACTTTGTTGACGAAGACGAATTTTCTCGTGATGATTGTTTCCTTATAAACAAATGGTTTCACTAAAATGCTGAAGTGGGTGAAGTTCGTGCAGAAAATATAGATGTGAACCCAAAATAGCTTGAAAAATCTTGATGATTACGAATAAACTGATTACGTTTCTCTTCGCAATAAGTCTAAAAAGAATAAACTGCGCCACTTTATAAATTCTGGGTACGCCTCACCTTAAGCAGGCGCAGAAGGTAATTTTGAATTTGCAAAGCAAAATAAATAAAGCTTCAAACTGTTTCGATATAGTATTGAAAACAAATTTCAAAGGAAACTGAAAAAATATATTTTCATAGAGAAAAAGATAATTCTTATTTCAAAACTGGGACGTCTTGAGTTCCCCGACCAGCTGCAGAAATAAGGTTCCCCTCAAACATTTTATCATCGTTATCATTATCATATATAATCTTCCTCCTCATCTGTATCCTCATCCACGTCGCCCGCCGTCAGCATCATTTCTATATACAGCCAATTTCTGCCAACCGTCGTTCAATTATTAAACAAGTTATACAGCTACCTCTGTTAATGCGATTTTAATTAATTTAGGATCGATGTGGAATCTAAAAGGATGAAATAAACATAACAACTGAGAATTAGTTCCAGACCCTCATTGTCCTGATAAATTGATAGTTCTCGAAAGTACTCGGTTTGTCATCGTTCACTAGCACTGGATTTTAGCACTTTTAAAGATTATTCAAAACCACTCATGGCAGAATATAGGTGAAAGATCTAAACCCGCTCTATTACGTTTCATCTATCTCCCATGAAGAGGCAAGGGCCCGTGTCAATCAAATACGACTCATAGTTCAATGCAACAAGTATTTAAAGCGTGAAGAAGACGAAGAAGAAGTAAAAAACAAATGCTGAGGGAATGTACAAGACATGAAAACACTCGACAGAAGAACAAATTCACATGACGCAAAAAAACAAAGACCGTGACATGATATATAGGGAGCAGCGTAATTTGCATAAAATGCGAGAATAACTGCGAAGAAATGTTACGTGTAAAAACGAAAAGAATAAGAGTTAATTAACGGGTGCGGAAATATAAGAAATTTGTGTAAGAAAAAACAAAAAATATTACACATTCGCCACGACCTCCACTTTCGCCCATTTCAATGATGGCTGTTGTGAACAGAAGGGTCACTAAGGGGGAAAGTGGGGACTTCTAAGAAGCTTATTATCAGTAATTAATTAAAAAAAAATTATTTTATTTTCAGTGCAGTGCTGCTGACCATCTATTAAGGGGAGGCGTGGTAACTACTTTTGCCATCCTAATTTGTGGACCAATCAGGGACTGATCATTGTTTATCGCTTGGACGACTGATCCCGTCTCTGTTCCCCCTGAAAACCATACGATCCCCCCGAAATCCTCTATTCCCCCGGGGCTAAATAATGACTGGTCCCTAGCTGTGACCGTTAGTTTGCTTAGGACATCATTTTAAAAGTCACCAGTTTAATCCTTGCCGTGATATGCATAATTTATCAGATATTCCCTCCTTCTTCATTACAATTCAATGTAGCCTAGAATTTTTTGTTCTGAATCGATTTACCTTCATCGATGGTGTTAAGCATCCAGTTCCCTATCTCGTGTGAATTCGGCTCCTTAACCCCAGTATTACCACTGGATGTCGAGAACGAAGGAAATGATTACCAACTAAAGGAGCTCTCTATTGTTGAACGAATTCTCCTTGCCAGCACTTACGGAAATGAATAGAGAACGGTGACAATTGTATCGTCATTGATTATAATTTTCATGATTAATTACACGCACATAACATGTAACAAACGATAATTACTGGCGAGTTGTTACAGAAGCGACTGTGATACGACTACAACTGACTATTTATTGTAAGGCGCAGTTGAATATTTTTATAGAAACTGCGCGGTATAAATTTAAATTTAATAATAAATTTAATAAGGCCATCGGGTAAATCTGCTTTCGCATTTCTTTCTGTTTTTCTGGAGATCGTAAATAGACAGTTGTATATTATCTTTCAGATTTCGAACCACCCGATACATATTGATTAATCATTGCTTCAATTACACGCTACGCTTCTGCCACCAAACGGAATAAAGTTGTTTGAAACCGATAGCCTATTGAATATTGGTATACACCGACACCGATACAACAACTGACATTCGTGTTAGGATGTAAAAGAAAGATGTAGGTCAAAATAACTATACCAAGGAGCTCTTGACTGCTTGAGCAGCAAACGTAGGGGACAAAAAAGGTCCAAGTATAGCTGGACAAAACAGTGCGGAAAACCGACCCTGGTATTGCTGCTTGTTAAGGTCTCAGCTGTTGGCGTTTATTAGCATTATAATTATGCAAAGGTTTCAAGCGTGGCCTTAAGCTATTCACTTAAAATTTATAAAGGCTGACACACAACCCACAATTCCTCTATTCGCTTCGACGAAGGGCTAACGCTCGAAACGTCAGCTTTTGTAATCATTACGGTGGCCAATTTACCATTTCAACTTTGTTGATATATCCAAATCACTTAAAATTTATGTTAGCTTTTCAGCTTCCACCGCTTCATGGCATAAAAACGTTCGAAAACGCGCAGACAGATCATGGGGATAAGCCAGCTAACTTTACCGAATCCTTACAAAACACGTTCACAAAAGAATTTAGATGAAAAGGTTTAAAAACGCATACATTCAAACGGTTTTCCTCAAAGATCTAATGCAGTTATTTCATTCACTAATTCTCTATTTTTCCATATGTAAACTTAATTCCAAAATGGTAGAAGGCCTCTCTGATTTGATTATCACAGTGTGTAACGAATGCAGGCGTCATGCAATCGAAAAAAAAAGAAAAACGACAATTATTTTGGAAGCTAAATGTTTTAATTGTAGAAACTGCGGCGTTTTTAAAAAGTCATAACCCCGTGGCCGCAAAAGTGTGAAATTATGTGTGTTTGCTCCTTTCATCTCCGGTTGGTGAATGAATGACCAAGCATTCACCTTTGATAAAGTCAAAGTTTTTTTGTCAGTAAAGGCTTATGGTGTTTATCGTGTTCAACTCGAACACCAGATAAATTCTGTACCTACGCGCGACTTTGTATTATTCTTTATTTCCTCACATAGCTAACAGATGAAATGAGCCATCCTTTTCTCATTATGCGGAGCAGTGTTTAAAGAAAAAGTATAATGTAAACACGTTAAGGTAGTTCTGCAGGTTTAAAAAGATGCCAAGACAACCGTCCCCCTTTAAGTAGAATGTTATGAATATTTACAACCTTTTCTTGAGGCGAAACAAACAATTTACACTGACCTGGCGCAATGTAAATTGTTTTGTCTCCTTCTTCTGTTTCATAAGGGCCAGGTGCGCCTCATACAATTCTTAAAGAACGTCCACTGTCAAACAGGCCAGCAAAACCAATATTCTGAAACTTTTGCACTGTGTACAGGCAAAGGTAAGGTTAAAATGTTTACATGCACCTGTTAAAAAGATATGATTGAATCAAATGATTGATGCATCCGTTACATAAAATCCTGAGGGTTTGCTAAAATGTCACTCCCGACCCTCATTAAGGCTCTTAACCTCACATAGCCAACAGATGAAATGAGCCATCCTTTTCTCATTATGTGGAGCAGTGTTTAAAGAAAAAGTATAATGTACACACGTTAAGGTAGTTCTGCAGGTTTAAAAAGATGCCAAGACAACCGTCCCCCTTTAAGTAGAATGTTATGAATATTTACAACCTTTTCTTGAGGCGAAACAAACAATTTACACTGACCTGGCGCAATGTAAATTGTTTTGTCTCCTTCTTCTGTTTCATTAGGGCCAGGTGCGCCTCATACAATTCTTAAAGAACGTCCACTGTCAAACAGACCAGCAAAACCAATATTCTGAAACTTTTGCACTGTGTACTGGCAAAGGTGAGGTTAAAATGTTTACATGCACCTGTTAAAAAGATATGATTGAATCAAATGATTGATGCATCCGTTACATAAAATCCTGAGGGTTTGCTAAAATGTCACTCCCGACCCTCATTAAGGCTCTTAACGCTGTGATCATGTCAGAGCAGTCTTCAATCAAATAAAATCGAACATTATCTGCAGAAAAAAATAGTCTCCAAACGATTCTCAAACACTGTTTATTTTTGTGTGAAGCGTCGGCAGCGTTTGCTTCTTTAAGAAGACAAAAGAAATTCAACAGGAATAAATTTATGTCACATTTATATCCATCTGTTTCTTAGTTGTATCAACTCTCCACTGCTTAGAGTTTTTGACGAAAAATAATGTAGAATGCCTAAAAATAAGCTACTGTTTTGATTGTTTAAGACTTTTTTGACAAAAAAAACAATACTAATTTCCTCGACTTACTCGAGCATGTCACGAAAATGGCTACTTTGTACGCAGAGCCTCCTCGGTCCTATTTTTCACGGTTGCGATGAAGTTAGATCGATGTTTAGGATGCGGTATTTCACGGCAAGAAATGAATATTTTCGAGTCTTTTGTCCACTTCGACGTAAAAATTAAGACAAGGGAAACATTCCTAAAAAGGAGGCATTATAATGTCAGATGATAGCATTTCATGCCATAGCGAAAGTGCACTCTTAACAATGAACTTGTTTTTTGTTTTGTCTTCAAGAAAGTTCTTAGTGACAAAGCATGTAGGGGGTGAAATTTAGAAACTTCTGGTCCTAGCCAGTTATTGTTAAAATTCCTTTCATTGGTCCGCTAAATCGATGACTTTGGCAAAGGAGAATTCTAGCCTTAGAAACGAAAAGAAGACCCTTTTTTTTTCTTCTATCTTTTTGAACTGAGATTATGACTAACTCAGACTTTACGAAGAATTTTAAGGGTAGTATTAGTAATATAACTTGGGGGAGGGGGAGGGGGGACAAAATGCCCTCTAGTCTCATCAAGATACAATCATCACGAAACGCCGCATAGGATTTGATTTGCCAAATATGTATATGTTGTATCTGGCGGTATGGCTCAAAGTCATAATCACACGTGCTGTCAGAGATGTTACAAATAAGCGTCGAATGCCATTGATAGGGAACCCTGTAGGTGTTTTTGTTTTGATTGGTTTTTCTTTGTTTGATGTTTCTGTCTTCATGTCATTGTTTTGTTTGGTGGCTTGTTCCACTTTTGTAACAAGTATGGTTGTTTGTGTTAGGCAACTTAATTAGAATTGAAGACAATAGTAAGTTACTTGCCGTAACCGGTGATTTGGATACATAAAAGTAAAAAAATACCCTAGAAGTGCGAATGTCATTATGATTTACTCGTGCACTCATGCACAAAGTCCCCGAAAATATTCTCAGTGCGTGGGAAATCATCTCTGATTCTCGCTGTGGTGTTTTTTTTAACAAATTAGCCAATCTTTGGGTAACACTTATTACAATCATTAAACGTTACTTCTGTTTTCATCATTTACTTAATTAAAAGTACCGCTTGTTTTCATACGGCTGAAAAAAAACGCCTCAGCAAATATTTTATTTGAGGATAGAAATGGCTCATGGCGGCCCCACTTTATGGTTTCAATTCATTATTTATTTATACTGTAATTATTTTTTTCAAATTTCACTCGGATAAGAAATTTTGCTGGTACCAGTTATTTAGTTTATAGCTAGAGCTTCAAGGACATTCAAGAAGTCCGCTGACACTTCAAAAATCTCATTTTTTTTTTAACAGGAGAAGCCGGAAAAAAGACACTAAAAAAATTGAGAACTGAAAATAAAAGTTTAGAAATAATTTTATAAAAAGGTTCATAGTCATTCAGATTTGAATTTGTAAACCATAGCCTATTGTTTTGCTAATTCGTTGGGGGTTTCACTTGCCAATAAAAACTGATTAGAAAATTTATGATTTTTTTGTATTATATAGCTACACGATCAAAGCCTTCGTCCCTTAAAAGGGAAACTAATTTACTTGTAGCCGAATCAGTTCATGGTGTAGACCGCCTCAACTGACGTCACTTTTTATATAGAATTTCAAAGGTAAACTACATGCACTTGGCATTAAAAGAACGTCGAAAGATTACCAGCAACAAAGAAACAGAAAAGAAGGCAGCTGCCGATGTAAACGAGGTATGTCTTGAATAAAACATTTTCTTAACTCTTTTTCAATGAAAGACGTTATGTAACCTAAAACATCGATCTCCTTAACTTGTGACAAGCTGCTCGATACACGAATATCATTTGTTCTTAATGTTACCACCTAGTCTGCATCTCTGTTTATTTGTGCATTCGCGCCGGATTTTGTCTTCACCAATTGCTACATTCATTTTCACCTACAGTGGAAAAGCTTGATTCCTATTTGGCCTGTACTTTTATATTCTCCATATGAAGAAGAAAATTTCCCCCCAGTTGATAATGGATTTGGCAAGTTTTAGCGTCAAAGGTAAAGGCTTGGGAGTAGTCGCGTCAACGGAGTATGTAAATAATTGAGTTTTGAAAAAAAGTCGTCAGTAACTGTTTTAAGATGTAAGTTGTCTCGACACTTTGAATCTTTGATCTTTTTATTGTTCTAAAATCTTTTCATTGTCATTATCTTTCACGGCCCATAAAATTTCTGCGTGAAAAAACCCTAAAACAAATATGATCTTCGAAGTCTTTGCATAATCAGCAAACAAGCAGTCTTTGTTAAGCAGGACAGTTTAATGTAAATTTAAATTTTTAATTCTCACTGATGAGCGCCTTGTATATGCATAGTCACTCAAACAATTGAGAACTACAGAAGGTTAAATGATCCGTGGGAACAAAGTGGCGTACCGCAGACTTCGTGATATTTATCAAACTGCAAAGTCTCTTTATCCCTTACCTTAAAAATGAAATTAAAGAAATTTTGGGCTAGATGTCAGGATAAGATAGCATTAAAAATGTACTCACAAAATGATTTGAAATATAACTTGTAACTACACGATACTGGACAAGATAAAAAAATTTGACCTAAATCCTGATTTACACTCATTGAACAAAAGTTCTGTCCTTCAATCCATTTTATTGAAAGGGTGGGGTTTCCAAATATTTTGTAACTTGATGCGGATTCTAGACTAGACTTGAGATAAACCAAAAACGGATGTTAAAAAATGGAAGAAATTAAACTTTCATTACGAGAATAGGACAAAGAGGTTCCCTACCAAGGGATTGAACCTCACACTTCTTTCGATCCCGCGAATGAATGCTTAACCAATTGATTGAAAAGGACCTCGCTGGTGAGCCGAACGCGTATTTGTATGTTAGGTTTAAAACAATTCCTAGCTTGATAAAGTCTCGAAGGGTAAGTTTTAAGACGAGTAAAGCATTGAAGTTTGTGGTTAGAAATACTGGATCAACTTTCAGCTATTTCATGACAGGACGGAAAACGCGTGAACTGTAAGTACCTCTCGTTGTCCCACACTAAGCCTTAGAAAAGTTTGTATGGGACAACGAGAGGTACTTATAGTGCACGCGTTTTCCTTCTTGTCATGCCTGTGCAACCGTTTCCGTTAGCTCTATATAATCGCTTCGTTTGCAATCTTTTCTAATAACCACGCTATCTGAAGTATTCCGTGAACCATCTGAGTCAAAAGTATTGGAGAAAGTTCTTTTGTTTCGTAAGCAGATGCTTTTATCGGCTAACGCCAATAATTTATGTTTTGCAACCCGTAGCGAACGCGGGGAAGCCTTAAACATCATGAGTAATCTGTCAAAACAGTTAGCAGGGGTTCATATGATATTAACACAAGACCAGCATCGTTGTTAGATTCTACCCAGTTTCGAGCTAAGGTCTGTCCACCCTGTATACAAAAATATTTTTCATCTATCGACAACCTCTTTGAAAATAGCGTCAAAAAATTCGGGAATGAAAAAGCAGAAGCTTGAGAATAAATTTAGCCTTTGTGTATCACATTTGACAGAATAATTTTCAGGGAAGCAGATAGTTTAAATGTAAATTAGGGCATCAATAATCATTAAGTCGAAAATGTTCGAAAAATAACAAACCACAACTTATGTCTAAACGTAACTGAACACAATTTTTATTTTGAATCTACCCTGAAGCTCAGTAAAATGTCACTCAAGCCTCGTCGACTAAAACTTACTGCCCGATGACTTTGTGGAATATTTTGTATCATATTTTTTGTGGTTACTTCGTTCATCCGGTTTTTTTGCAGCCCAGGAGGGAAACATTGCGAGGCAATAAACTTCTGTGTTACATTCAAATACAGTTCAAGTCGTGAGGTATCAGACATATTAAGGCTTACGGGTCAGTATCGTCTAAAATTATGTTACATTCACTCAAATGCTATTACTGACAGTTAGCTATTTTCATCATTTTAATCCATGTACAGTGGAAGCTCGATTTAACAAAGTGCCAAGGGACTGGGTAAATTAGTTCGCTATATCGATATCGAGGGTTCGTTATTTGTATCGAGGTTTTGTGGCATACATTTTACTGTAACTTTGGCCGGGCTGAAACTGAAGTATCGTTCGTTATATAAACCGAGGACTTCGTTATACAGGGGTTCATTAAATCGAAGTTCCACTGTAAAGAGCGACTATTTGTTTGTTTGCCTAATCCGGATTGTCCAAAACGTACTGGTATGCCTCAGATTCTAATAAGTTGCGTTTCAATTGCGTTCATATGGTTTTATACTCTGTCTTCAAAGCGAGAGAGTACAGTATGTAAATGATAAATAAAATTTCTCAGAACTAATGATTTCAATAAGCTTTGTTTGGCAAAACCTTAGCTTGTTTTACGAATACACTAGCACTTGTCTAAGCGGTGTATGTGAATATACCTATGAAATCCCTAATATCGAGGAAACCGGCACTTTCATCGTTTCCAAAAAAAATGCTCGCTAGCGGAGCTGCTAGGTTGATCGGGATTTTTTCAGTTATCTACTCTATACACAATACTTCGCGGGCAAAGGAAACTGTCTCTCATTTCATTGCTTATTCTATTTGTTTGCCAATCCGTCGGTCTGCATGTCATCGACTAGAAAACGTAATTTCTTCGATTCATTTGTCTGGATTTTCAACGTATTCCTAAGCATTAACAGGGAATTAAACGGAAAAGAGGTTTAATGAGATATTTCCGGTACGCGTAAAATCTCTCTCGTTATTTCATCAATTTATCTTTCTTGAGGACTTTGGAAGACCTCTCTTTCCGAGCAAGAATTTTTGCGGCACCTCAAGTACATAAATAACTGTCTAAATGCAGATGTCGAGGAACTCAATAATGTTCAAAATATATGAACTTCATATATTCATTGTATCTGACTTAATAAAAAAAAGGAAGATATCTTAAACTTGATCAATTTTATACTTCAAACGTTCAATTCTTTACCATAACTGATCACAAGGACTTTTTTCGGCACCCTTCAACGTCATCTTAATACTCCAAAACCGTAGAAAGCGCTAAACCAGAGCCTTCTGACACTCAATCTCAAAAGGAATATACATATTTAATGAGCACGAATTTTAACAAAAATGGCTTCATCAGCACTTTAAACTTTGCCTTGGAAAACAGGAAGCAATTTAAAGTCATAAAAATCATCACTGCACGCCAGAAATAAGTCTTGCAAAAGCTTTTGGTTTCATCATCTGGTTTTTTATTTCCGTCCATATAGGGGGTATATTATTTAGTATTTCTTTTAAATTTCCAGTTTTTTCGTTAAATTTCGAAAGTGTTGTAAATAATCAATGGCAGCGGTATGGTGTCGACTGCAAGGGAAAACACGAAAAAAAAAAGCTTTTACTTCAGCAGTTGTAGTCTATATTTTTGAGACATGATGTGAGCTCGCAGAATTAATCATGTGGTTGCTGGTTACATAAAACTCAGAGAGGGATCTGATTCTTGAGCAAAGAAAATTGCTGTATGATTAGTAAAGACGAAGTTCCGATTTTCTCTACTGTTCAATTAAGATACAACCAAGTTTACACAAAACTCTGAGCGGAATCTGATCCTTGAATAAAGAAAATTACTCTATGATTAGTAAAGACGAAATTCCGATTTTGTCTACAGTTCAATTAAGATACAACCAAGCTTACATTAAAGTTTTATAGTCTATTTCCGCTTCGATTAATATCACTTTATCGCCTTGCTTCTCAATTCACCAATCCTTCGTTAGTTCTGGTTAGAAATTTGCATTCAATTTCCGTTAATTTTTCGCGTTAATGCAGCAAATGAGGTATCTTAACGAGACAGACAAGACACAACGGAACCTTTAGTGTGTTCAAAATTACAGTTGTAATGACAATTTTAAACTAAGAAGATTTTTTAATAAAAAAAGAGCGGAACAAAAGACTTTCCTGCTGTCTGCAGAACTGAAATAAAAGCATTTTTTTCTTTTACTTTAGGATCAAGAGGAAAAGATTCCTAGTGGCTCGTCGGCATGACTATCATAGTAACTTTTCTGTTAATGGTGCTTACGTGGTTTGGTGGCTATGGGCAACGAAATTGTTCAGGTGAATTTAGAGGCTACGTATGTAACATTTCGGCAACTTGTGAATTCTTTCCTTGTCTCAGGTATATTAAACAAACCTTGCGGCTGTTTAAAAAAGTGTTTTTAATCTGACACCAATCATTAGCGAGAAAAGATAAATAGATCTCCATGCAAAAAAAAGTACAGTACTTAGACACTTCTATTTAAAATGGATATCCTACTTTTTCATCATAAATTCAGCCTTTTTCTTGGAGTATTGTCCAAATGTGTTCCACAGCCAACAATGCAGGTTTTATTCGAAGGCTGCCTAGAAGTAATTGAGACTTCCTGAACTAAGTGTCAAACGCATATTGCCGATAACATACAACATATGATTAAAATAGAATGAACTAATCCTTAGTCACATGGGGTGGCTTCACTTTTATTCAATAAATCATTAATATTTGCACAATTACGAATATCCACAGCATATTTATTGAAAAAAAAATTCGAAACATGAACTCTTCAGTAAGTAACTGTTCACTCCTATTTTTTCGCAGATGATTGTACCAAAGCCCTCGGGATGGAGGACAACAGAATTACAAACTCTCAGATTTCCGCAGTGCTTGTTTACAACGACGACTATGCTAATTATGGTTCCCAAAATGCACGACTGCATAACTTCCGTGGTTACAGAGGTGACCCACAGGCCGCTGAGCCACTTAATTTTTTAGTAATTAATTTCGACGTGGAAATGGTTATCACTGCCATAGCAACTCAGGGTTTTGGAGACCCCAAGGTTAACGAATGGGTTACAAGCTTCCAAATGCTTTACAAAGATTCTAAAGGTGAACAGGAGTCTGTGAAAGGCACTGATGGCCAAGGACTGGTAAGGCTGAGAAAACTAGATGTGATATTTTAATTAGGACCAAAGAGACTTCCCAAATGCAACGAATTGCTTACAGTTAAGCCCCTGTATATGAAATAGATTACATGTTGTCGCGCGTTTGTTCAGTTATAGCTTATAGGTGACGTCAATGTGTTGGAAGAAAAACAAATGGGAACGAAAGCGAATGTCTTACTGATGTTCTAACTCAATTTCCACTTCTTCCATGATCGGATTTTTGCTGGGGCAGATCCCAGCGGACAGATCCAAGCGGGGCAGATCCCAGCGGGCAGATCCAAGCGGGGTAGATCCCAGCGGGGCAGATCCCACCTGGGCAGATCCCAGCGGGGCAGATCCAAGCGGGACAGATCCCAGCGGCGCAGATCCCAACGGGGCACATCCCAGCGTGTAAAGCTTAGCTCTGATTGTTTCTCGGACCTTACCCCTGTCCCCGCTGGAATTCCACAGGGTTACTGCATCGGCTCTTGGATCTTTTTGGCCATGATTAATGACCTTGCTACTTCGATCAACCCCCTTCCCGGTATATGGAAATTTGCCGACGACACCACGTTCTCGGAAATTGTTCCCGAAAACACTTTTTGATAGGCGAGAAGAATTATGCTTAAGCCTATTCAATCAGATCACAGAGAGTGAAGGTCAGCATAAACTATCTGACCTGCTACCTGTGCGCAATAATGCCTCTCAGTACAACCTAAGGAATGAGCGAATGTTTGCTATGCCCGGTATCAAAACCAAAATGTTTCAAAATTCCTTAATAATGCACTATGCAGTAAAAGAGCAAATGTGAATCTAACTCGGATTATTATGAATATTAGTAATTTGAATTGTTTATATTTAGAATTTATTATTATACAAGTTAATTTTTTTTGTAATATATACTTTATAAATGATGGTAAATTATGTATATTGCACAAGTAATTCAGCTTTTAACCGCTAGTGGTGAATTTAATAATAAACGACATATATTCACATCTTCCATGATGTTAACGAACAGATCCTCGGCAACATTGAATATACATATTTCATGTGATAAAAAAAAGATGTTGTGAATGGGGACGTCATCTCTGCGTCTATTCTCCAATAAATCATATGTAGCAACCGATCAACATTCGTGTACGAGTCAGCGACTGTACGGGAGGCTTTGAACGTAGCTTACCTTTTTCACCAAGATAAATGAAGTTTCAAGGTGAAAACTACTTAAAGTGGTAGAGCAAATCACAATAGCTAAAATTTGACACTCCTGCTGGTAAGTCAATGAAGCATCGTCTGACATTACACAGTTGCTGACATATCACAAACTTGCCATATATATAAAATTGCATTGAGCATTATTTATTAATCGATTTACACTTTAACATAAAGAATAAGCTGTTTTACCTTTAAGGTATTTTTTGGAAATATAGACGGTAACATGGTAAAGCGGAATCCTCTACCCATTCCTGTACTCACGTCGGTTGTTACCATTTTACCCATCACTGCTAATAATAACGTTGGCCTAAGGCTTGAGCTTTACGGTTGCAAGGGAGGTAAGTAATTCTGTTTGATTAGTGCTGGCTGCATATAATTTAGGATTAGGCGGATTGGCCTAGTTCACGCGTTGCATAGATAATTCCTTCCTCCAGTTAAGATCCTCTTCAAATTTCTATTGCTTCCAATGATGGAGGATGGCAATTCTAATCAGTCATCCGTTAGAAGCAGTGCACTTTAATCTTTTCTCTGGGGCAAGAGCTAAAACGGTTATTGAACTTTATCATGATGTCTTTGCAACTTTCGAAACTATGAATGAGTTATTGTCTGTTTTTCCTTAAGTTAGCGATTGCTCTGGTTGATTTCTGTTGTTACTGCTGTTTTTGTTCCTTTTCATCTTATCTTAAATCGATGATTTCTTTTAGGATATTATTTTGTTGCTTGGTTGATGTTAAAGGAGACTCTTTTCTCTGTGGCTCACACCGATCCATCGAATTATGAATATGAAGAAGTCACCGTAACCGTCGTGGAAGAGGTCAGTTTAGAGCATGTTTGAACTTGTTTGATGCTGGGTCCATTATCAGACAATTATGTCCGATTTTAAACATTAGTGTCTCATTTAAGATGCCAGTGTTCAAATTTAAGCTTTAGTGTGCAAGTTTGGACACGAGCGTGCGATTTTGGACAGTAGTGACAAGTTTTGGACTTTTGTGTCCAATCTTGGACACCATTGTCTGGACACGAATGTCCCATTTTGGATGCTGATGTACGATTTTGGACACTACTGTCCGATTTCGGACACTCGACTTCTTTAATTTTTTTTCTTTTTGACAGCAGTGTCCTATTTCGAACAATCCAGTTTCTGAGTTCTGCGGAAGCTTTCAATTCAATGTCTCTTCCGTCTTTGCAGATAAAAATATGCGACTACCTTTATTGGTAGGGCCATGTTGTGTCACAGGCACTTCAACCTTTAATTACAATATGCATGCCTTGAAAGTCAATTCGAGTACCTGGGGAAGCTCACTTTTTTTTAGCATTTCCATTTCGCAATTTTTTATCTCAGATAAGAAGAATTCTTGGGACATCCAGAGGATTCCTTCACGCACGTATAATAAATTTAAGGTACGTTGCCAGTTTCGTCAGTGTGGATCAGCCTTTAGAATTTGCACCATATCCAGCTCGACTAACTGAATAAAAGAGATTTGATCTATAACATATGTCAAATATTTGTAGCTCAATTCGTTGTGGGGAACAGATAGCTTTTTTCGTTGTCCATGCATGCTAAAAAAACAACATCAACAAGAAAAAAAAGCCACGAACAACTTTTTACTTTAGTTCTGCCTTTAAGCATGCCTTAGCTACCCTTAACTCAAACCTCTCATCTGTAGTTCATCTCTTTCTAGCGAGTTCGAGTCTTTTCATTTTAATTTGTACAGCAGCAGAACACAGATACGCAAGGGATTATATCAAATTTCTTATTGCAGCCCACAAAAGTCAACATCGTTGGCTACTATGGTAACTGCCATGGTAGAAATCCATTGTTTACGATCAAGTGAACAAGTCCTGTTGGCGAATCTTAAAACTGCCTTGGAAGAATTCGAAACAGTTTTTGAACCAAGCTATATCAAGTTTCAGTTTCCAAGTAAGAAGTAAACATAAGTAAACTTGCACGATGACGTCAGTTTATTACAATTATTTATATTCCTCAGGTTTATACTGTTTTTGACTCCATTGAGATGACAAAATTCATATCTGCGTGCAAAAAAGCTATGTGAATCTCAGCAGCTGTTGTCAGTCGACGTCATCGTGCAATATCCAATTGACTTGAAAAGATTTCTTATTTGTGACAACCACAAGAATATACATGTAGTTCACTATTCAGAACTCTTGGCAAATGGATTATGTTTAAGAAGTATAAGGGCCACAGTTTGCAACAAAAAATTATCGTATAGGATGCAATTTACAGACGCCTCCATGGTTAAGATCATGAAAATTTAATGTTTTCTTTTCTGTTCTTTAGCTACAAGCTTGCCTCAAGTTCAAATAAAACAAAGTGTGACGGTATCGTGTTCATCTCATATTGGAGACGAAGATCTAAACAAAGACAGCAATATGAAAGATCAATTCAATTTGTTTTGTTTTGTTTTTTGGCAGAAAGATGTGGCTGTACGCCTCTAAGAGTAAGGATCAAGCTTAGAAAAACGATGAAGACCGCTGAGGAGTATAGACTTTCGCAGATGCTCAGATTTCCTGTTGAGCTAGAAAACTCATGTCAGTCGAGCGGATCAAAATTCTACTCCTGGACAGTCTCAAAAATAGACAAAGAAACAGGCTTATTTGGCCCTTTACTTGAGTTCGGAAAAAAGGATCGGTTCTTTTTACCCTTACGTATGATGCGCGTTGGGTATGCCTACATTCAATGTTTGGTAGAAATTTCCGGTAATACTGGCTCCATAGCTTACGACTACGGCTACATAAGAGTGGTTCGGGATCCCCTTCAGGCACACATCATTGATATATCCGAGTCGTCGTCTAAAATCATATTAAGTGCGAAGGAATCTCTTGATACCGGTAGCAGGAGGCCTGGAACACAAGGTCTGCGGTTTGCTTGGTTTTGCAGGCTCGTAAACGAAACGTTTTCGCACGAGATAGAGCGTGTTGTGGACAAGCCACTAGGTAGAAATAAGAGTAACTCAGGATGTCTGGGATTTGGACCTGGTAGACTCACCTCTAGGAATGAGGTATTAACACTGGATATAACGGACATGATCAAAAGCGAGATGTACGTCTTCAAGCTTATGGTCGAGAAAGACTTCAGGAATGCAAGTGCTGTGTATGAATTTACAGTGAAGCCTGCCGTGTCCATCAGTATAAGGTAAAAAGTACTAGACGTGGCTCTTCATTCAAAGAAATTAGGAAGGCAAAGATAGGTCCAGATTTCCTTGCAAAATTTAGTTTGGGTTGACTGTACCGGATATACCGAACGTACGCCATTACCTCTCATGCACTATGCGACAGCAGATATATTTTGCCATTTGACACTTGGCAATTTTTCCTCTTGAAAGAAAACGGAATTTCTTTTGCTTTAGAGAAAGGTTAATCTAAATGGAATTAAATTTCAACTGGCTTTTTATTTTCCTTTGAGATGAGCAAAAGATCAAACTCTAGATACAGCAAAGTTCAAATGATATTTTGTTTCATGCATTTCATCAGATGCTTGTCAAATTGTGGTGAAAAGGTCACCCCGCAAGATGATCTACTACTAGAGGCTCACTGCGCGGGACATTCGTGCGACAAAGTCTCAAGATACAAGTGGAGTTTTCATTTAGTTAACCAGGAGGACCTCTCTGTTCAAGTAGTTCATCATCTTCGAAGTTATTCTCAAATGAACGGCCAACGTTTTTTGATGGAAGACATTTCCAAATTGCGAGACGACTCAAATAAACAAATCATCTACGTCGTTAAAGCCATTGTTCAACTGGATAAAAAAACAAAGTTTGAAGGAAGGTTTCCCTTCTTAGTTAACTCACCCCCTAACAGAACTTCAAATACCAGCTGTCACGTCACACCAATGGAAGGTGAAGCAATTTCAACAGATTTTCTGATCACGTGTTCGGGCTGGAACGACGAAGATAAACCACTTGTTTACGAGTTCAGATATCAAGATAAACACGGCATGGTCCTGATTCAAACTGGACCTCTGAACAGAGTCATTACAAAACTTCCGGTGGGAAAAGCGACGGAAGATTATTCGCTAGTTCTTGAGGCTCAAGTAGGGGACTCATTTAAAGACTTCGTTGAAACTCGTCTTTTAGTTAAGGTATTCATAAATACTCTTTATTTTACTTCCCGTGAATAGCCAGTTTTCTCCAAAAGATCAGACTGCTTTAATTTGCATTGACCTATTCGGACCTGCCTTTTTTTGCAACATGGCGGAGGAATTTCTTGAAAAATTCACCCGAGGTTGATTTTCCTAAATTTGGGACTTTAAGAGAAGGGTGGTCTCAAACAGGAAGCAAAAATCCTATTAGTGTTGCTTATTTCACCGAAACCTTTATCTGGGCGATATATGCATGACTGCAAAGGCCCGTTCTCAAAAGGTGAATTCGAAATAATTGCAGTTTACGTTGCTGCTGTTTTAAAATGTAGGTACGTCCACCCAAGCAGTCTGAATTAAACGATGGACTTGTGGAAAAGCAGCTTAGCGTCATCCGGGACTTTGTGCAGGCTGGCGATGCTAACCGAGCAACTGAGCTTGCTTTTATGCTGATGTCAACTGTGAAGGACTTTAGTGATGGATCATTTGAGGAAAAATCGGTACTGAGTAATGCTAGTAAACAGCATTTAAGATATTTATGATAGCACATAGGTTGATGTCATCTGTGAAGAACTTTAGTGATGAATCATTTGAGAAAAAACCGATACGAAGTAATGCTAGAAAACAGCATTTCAGATGTTTATGATGGTGCATAGGATTTTGTGACAGTTTGTTAGTTGAGTATTGAGAAGAGCATCAAAACGTAGCTGTGTTGCTTACGAGTCGTGCTCATTTTCTACAACTATTTAAGAAAACAATGGAGGACTTTTCCATCCTCTAATAAACTCTCGGAGGTTTTGAAGAATGCTCGGTAGCGGTCAAGGATTTAGTTGACTGTCTCGAATTTTTTTTAACCTTGTTCACCCTCTTTGGGTTTAGACTGATAAACGCGAAAAATTATCTTAACACGAAATAGTGATAGTGTGTCCTGCAGCTTGGATTTAACGTAAGAAAGATGAAAAAAAAAAAAAAAACGCTCGTACTTCTCTATTTCTTAGCAATTTCTCTTTTTCTGTTTTTTTTTTTCCTTTCTTTTTTTTAACAGGGCGCCATTTTACAAGATATGAAAGGCATAAAAGTCAATAGCGTGGTTCATGTTACAAAAGTCGCGGCTGTAGTTGCTTGGGCAACAGAGAATAGGAGAAGTGTTCCTATGTCTTTGCAGGTAGGTTTACACTACGTTTGAATACACAATATAGGCTGAAAATCTTGTTGGTGGCCAATGCAGGGGATATTTTTTTCTGAACGTATGCATATCACTTGCTTCTGCTGGGGCTAAACATGCATGCCATACCAGTCATAAAATGCATCGAGTCACTATCTGTGTTTTCACTACTGAGATATACTTGTCACTTTTTGTTTTATAAGACTGATGCGTTGACCCTCCTGACCGAAGCCACAGATTTCATGGCGATACAGTTCACTTCCAACAGTACCCACGATACCAAGCTTGCCAAGAATGTTAGCTCTGGTCTTCTCAATAGCATTGGAAGTGTTCTACAGATTTCTTCAAGGGACGCCAAAGTAGAAACAAAGGACAATTTTATAAAAGAAAAGGTAGATGAAATCGTGTTTCACCAGCTTTTAAATTTAATTTAGTGTATTGGTTTCGTAATTTTAACAGGGGAAATTGTTTTATAATGCTATTTGATGAATTACACGGACAACAGAAATGTCATCTGTTGAAAACTTGACCGCTAACGATCCCTTTACGCATTTTTAGAGATTAGCTGTTGTAAAATATATACGACAATATTCCCCACAGAATTTCATGAAAAACTGTGCAGCTGAAATGGAAACCTTAAAAATGCGTTAATCTGATCTTACATCAGTCGGAAAATGATTAGTTCTTCTAAGGAAATTAGAGTTCTTCGCTTGTGCCGTAGGGAAGAGAAACAACCATGAAGACACTGGATTTAGTCAGAAAAGTTGGCGAAGTCCTTTATTCTACAGGTAGTAACCGCCAGAATAAAACGGTGGTGAAATCTAACTTTGTCGACATAATAATCTACGAAGAAAAACCAAAAGATCTCAGTGGGAAGAGTATCAGCGAGGGAGGAGCTAGTGTTGCCATTCCTGACTCGAAGGATATATTTCCTAATGCAAACGAGAGTGTCACAATACAGGTATGTTGACTCTTTTTTACCATTATTTGCATTAACCTTGAAAAAATACTCTTTCACAGAGGCAACAGGATATCCATCACAGTGACTGCTTTTGAAAAATTTGGATCGTTAACAACCTTTTAACTTCTAGCATAATTTGAATGAAAATGGATGGGCTCTTTCTATTCACATTATCTTCCTAACAGCTCTTAGGGAACGTAAATTTATCATTAAAAATACCGAAATTTATCTCCTTCGATCCACTTATTTATTTTCTTCTGCCTATTTTCATTTCAGATGATGGCGTTTAAAGAAAATACCACATCTTTTTTCAAATAACTTTTTCTTTTATCCACCAAAGGTGATTGCGGAGTTTGAGCTTCCCAGTCGACAAGATGGGCACCACACGTATACTATTTCGATACAAACTGGCGCCTGGCGAAACTCTGGAACGACAGCAAATGTAGGAGTAGTATTATTTGCCGAAGAAAGTGTCTCAAATCCGATTGTATTTGCACATCAAGACTTGGAAAAGATATTCTTTGCAAGGGGAAGTGTGAACACGTTCACCTTGTCTCTTGGCAAGTCTCTGGGTTCTCTTTATAAGGTGAATGTCTGGCACGACAACTCTGGAAATAGTCCATCATGGTTTCTTCTCGAAATAGTCATAGAAGAGATCAAGACAGAAGAAAAATGGCATTTTGTTGCTAATAGGTGGCTTGCTGTCGAAAAAGGCCTTGGAGAAATAGAACTGGAGTTACAAGCCGCGTCGAATGAAGACCTTTAGCAGTTCAAGAACGTATTTCATTCACGAACCCAGCAAGCTGTGGGAGATTCCCATTTGTGGTTTTCTCTATTCACTAAGCCACCTCACAATCAGTTTACGCGATGTCAAAGACTTTCCTGTTGCATGTCAGTGATATTCTGCGCTATGGTAACAGGAGCAATGTTTTATCGCTTTGGTGCCGAAGCCACTGACACCTTTCACCTTGGACCACTAAAGTTAAGTTGGACAGAAATAAAAATAGGTATTCAAAGTGGCCTTGTCGCTATACCAGTCAATTTCTTGGTCGTAACCATCTTTAGGAACGCCAAATATAGTGGAGATCAAGGAACATCTTCAGGATGCTTACCACGCTTCTGCATTTACATTGGCTGGGTTCTGTGCGTATCTGCAATGTTAGGGAGTGCTGCATTTACTGTCTTTTATAGTCTAACTTGGGGTGCCGAGGTGTCTAACCAGTGGCTTGTGTCGATGACATTGTCCTTTTTTCAAGACGTCTTACTCGTTCAACCCGTCAAAGTGTTATGTATTGTTTGTTTACTTTCCATAGTNTATTTCATTCACGAACCCAGCAAGCTGTGGGAGATTCCCATTTGTGGTTTTCTCTATTCACTAAGCCACCTCACAATCAGTTTACGCGATGTCAAAGACTTTCCTGTTGCATGTCAGTGATATTCTGCGCTATGGTAACAGGAGCAATGTTTTATCGCTTTGGTGCCGAAGCCACTGACACCTTTCACCTTGGACCACTAAAGTTAAGTTGGACAGAAATAAAAATAGGTATTCAAAGTGGCCTTGTCGCTATACCAGTCAATTTCTTGGTCGTAACCATCTTTAGGAACGCCAAATATAGTGGAGATCAAGGAACATCTTCAGGATGCTTACCACGCTTCTGCATTTACATTGGCTGGGTTCTGTGCGTATCTGCAACGCTAACGAGTGCTGCATTTACTGTCTTTTATAGTCTAACTTGGGGTGCCGAGGTGTCTAACCAGTGGCTTGTGTCGATGATATTGTCATTTTTGCAAGACGTCTTACTCGTTCAACCCGTCAAGGTGTTATGTATTGTTTGTTTACTTTCCATACTCGTAAGGAAACCAGTGGATCATGAAGAGGTGTGTCAATCACAATATCCATCCGAAAATTATTCTGGACGCACTGACGAGTTTAAACAGGAAGCAAGGATGCTTAAAATGGAAGAAATTGAAGATGCACGCCGAAAACGCCAAAGGGAATTGAAGGCACTTCGCGCCATCGTGGAAATTTGTTTCTTTATCTTATTCATCTCACTCCTTATGATCGTGTGCTACAGGAACAGAAATTCCGTGAGGTATAGTGTCACGAAATCTGCAGAAGATCTTTTTGAAGGCTTCACAAAGGTAAGTCGACATTGTAATTTTGGTTTTATCAAATGAGTTGATAAAGTTAATTGGCCACTGTAAAGAGTTTCAAAGCTGACGTTTCAAGCATTAGCCCTTCGTCGCTCCCGCTGATAGCCTTGGAATACTTTACGGTGGCCAGTGTACTTTATCATAAAACCAAAATTACGTTGTAACTCCCACCGACGCAGCGCCACAGTTTCTTTAAAAACTTATCCTCTCTATTCATAAGTCGACTTTGGTTTGGTGCACGTAAAAGAAATCATTCAGCGTGAATGGCAATGAAGTAAATTAAGGTTTTGTTTAGGCTTCGCTTGGTCATCATCCTCTTATCTAAGGTTATAGACATTTTTTGAAGCAGAAATTATTGCAGATATTTGAAAAACTTTCTGTTTAATATTTTGGGAATTGACTAAGCTTTCATTTGACTAAGTGTGTAACCCAGCGACAATTAAAGAACTTTACTTTGCACACTTTCTAGTGATACTCAAAATTTACTTCAGCAGGTTAATAACAAGTCTTCTTTATAAACCTGGGTGAGGAGCACATTTCTCTGCGGATTGTTTGACACCCGTTGGTACAATGGTGAATTGTTCGACTACGAGGAGGGTTTCGTTGGCAACAAAGAAAATTTTCTGGTCGGAATGCCGAGACTGAGACAAGTGCGTATACTCCCAGGTAAGTCTACAAGTCGTATGCCTATGTTTCCTAGCTGTTCGGAAAATTCACAGCATACTCATCCTGTAGGGTGTTCGAACTAGCAAAACAGCTTATTTGAAGAGCTTATTATGCAATTCAACCTCTCCACAAGTAGTGTCAGTAACCAGTCCCGAATCACGATATGGTCGCTCATTACCTTCCTGATGGTCTACATATACTTTATTTTATCCATGTTGCAATATATTCTCCAACTGACGCGGCCCTAGTCTCTTACCTTCTAGTATTCATCGAAGTGCATTATAACCTTCTTACTCCTCTTAAAACTATCCGAGGAGTATAAAATAAGCTGACATGTATGACTGATTTTAAGCACAAGGTTTCCGTTCTGTTGATGGTCGAAAGCAATTTTATTAATGCAATTGTTTTATGCAAAAGAGATTATAAAGACTATAGTTTTACCAACAAAATACAGCTCTTATTTTTTGGACTCACAGAAGTGGACTGTGACCTAAACAGCCGAGTGAAAGGACTTGTTTTTCCACGATGTTTGCCCTTGTATAACAGTCATAAAGAAGATACCACACCTTATTATAAACCTGAGTGGATACCAGCTAGCAACATATCTGGGTTTGCAAGCAGCACCGATGAAATAGAGCTCTTGTGTTCAAAGCCGTGGCAATATAGAACTGCGGATTTACTAGGTAATGCACCATTCCAAGGTAAAATGGCTATGTACGGAGGTGGAGGGTATGTAGCTAATCTAGGTTACAACTCTGAATCGGCTCTTGCTACGATTAATAGCCTGGAAGAGAACAGGGGGATCGACGACAAGACAGCAACTGTTGTAATTGAATTCACGTTGTTTGATCCTTCAACGTCCTTATTTGGGGTTGCGAAATACGTGTACGAAAGATTACTGACAGGAGGTGTCATTACAAGCAGCAAAGTGAAAGCGATGACTGTATATCTACCTCATGGCTCCAACAGTTTCAGGTTGTTTTATCTTCTCTCTCAAGCACTCCTTATACTGATCATCCTCGGTTTCACAATTATGGAAATGGTAAAAGCATTTCGCGGGGGTCAATCGTATTTCAAGCAATTTTGGAGCTGGGCTGATATGTTACTATTATTTGTCTCAGCCTCTGGAATAGGAATAATGTTTTATAAAGAGAAGTTTATGCGGGATTACGTGAATAACGTTCGCGCAAATCCGTTTGACAACTGGAGCACAGATCACATTGTGCTATGGTCGGAAATGGAAGACTATCTTCTTGCCATAATTATGTTTTTAGCTACAATTAAATCTCTGCGACTTATTCGTTTTAATCGTCACATTTATCAAATGAGATTGACTCTTAGAAGTTCATTGACACCACTTTGGTCTTTCATGGCAATATTTCTTGTCGTTGTTGTATCATTTGCCTCATTTGGTTTGCTGTCTTTCGGATCTTCGATGGATAGCTACTCTTCCCTACCCTTAGCAGTTGGATCATTGCTTCAGATGC